TGCTGTGTAGTCCTACGCCTGCGTATCTGTAGCGCACTGAAATTCTGCAGTTAGCAATAATCTGAAGTAGTGAATATATTGTCTGTTCCTCTTCCTAAAGTACTTTCCAACTCCTGTTCATTCAAAAGTTCTGTATAAATGACTTGCTAATGTTATTTACTTACATTCACAATGGTACAATGAGACAGTATCTGGTCTTCTCAGGTCTTCTCCCAAAATATCATTCGAGAATTTAAAAGAAAACTTTTTTTTTTTTGCCACAAAAAGCTACAAAATATAAACAAGAAAACCAAATAAAAGTGGCATCACCGCTGAGTGAAAACAAGCCTCTTTTCTCCTGCATCTATGAAACACTGCACTGTGCTGAAAACTGTCCTCTCCAAAGTGTGTCGTTACAGGAAGTAATGTAGTTAAATGCCATTTGAACTGAAACTAATTTAGTTTAAACTTCCTGCTCCTGTAGTTTATCTGTATAGATTTCTGTATTGGTGAAAATCTGCCATGTACTGGCAGAACTAAAAATAGGTTTTTAGGGTAGAGTTAGTTTGTCTTTGTGTGTGTGTGTGTGTGTGTGTGTGTTTGCATTGATGGAACAGGGGTGGTAACCATAGAGCTGAGCTCGGGAGGGGTGTTTGTTGACGAACAACATACCAGTGTGTGCCTCATGTGTGTGTGCCTCATGTGTGTGTGTGTGTGATGACCTAGTTCGGCACAGGTAAAGATCGTGTGTCTATTTAAAGAGGGTGATTCTCTGTGAGCAGCTGATAGCCAAAGTGTTTCTGTGGTTGTTTCCCTCCAGTCTAAACTGTGAGGAGGCTTCAACATTATTCTGACCACAGAAACCCCCAGTGGACACACACATATATTGGAAGCACTATCTTGTGTTTCACGGTGTTGAAAGGAGGGTTATCGTCCTTTTTTCCTACAGATTTATAAAACTCCCAGTTGTCTACGAAACACATCTGCAACTATTTGTTCTTATTTAGATTCCATCAGCTTTTTGTTTTATAGTTTTAATCATTCATGTCTGAGTGAGTGCACCTTTCACTTTCACAAGTGAGCACACCATACTGGACGAAAACCAGCTTCCTCTCCAACATCTGCTGGGCTCCAGGCAAATTCCATTTGTTTCTCAGATCCATTACAGACAAGAGAGAATGGGGAGGTTTGTCCATCATCGCCCCATAGATGTGACTGTACTTTATTCTGGCACCAGAGGAAAACATTTCTAAACACAATTAGCTTGGTTTCACTTTGTCCTACAGCGACAACACTTTGCTTTGTATTTCAAGGGTGAGGTTGACTGTAGATTGTTGTATTTATTTTCTCTGATGTTAAAACACTAAAAGACGTCCACTGGTTTGAAACAGCACACGCTTTTAACCCTTCAGCTATTTGTCCTGACAAACCTGCTCAACCGTCTCTGCTCAGCATCAGCAAATTTTTATGTATCTCAAGCACACACATGCTCAAGGTACAGGGGGATTGATGCATAGAAAAACCAAGTCGTGCAAGTTGGAGCTGAACGTAACACTGAAAACAGTATTGGTATTTTCAACTTTTATCCATATTTCATCCTTAAATATTCAGGCAAATTCTTTGAGCTTTAGCTTGATGGAAACTTTGGACAACACACTGGACAAACTTTTACATTTTCTCCAACAAACTGATCAATTTACTGATAACTAAGAGGTGGAAAACCGGTGTGATGTTATTGTAGGATGATAATTTTTCTGTTAAATAACTGTTTGTAAAGAAATTTCCATTTAGAGGCAACAAATAAGAAGACTTAAATGTTTAAGATACATCTCCTGTGAGACTGTTTGTCCTCAGCAACTAATCCTATCCCACTGAGTAAACTTGCACTCTAAGTTGATCTACTCAGAACAATATGTGTGATTAATTATTGATTGCTAAACATACAATCAGTATTTGAAAGGAAGAGACTACAATTAAGACATATTAAAGAAAGACAGTGAGACAAATGCTCTTGGATCAAACACGTCCCACTCATTAGACCTTAACCAGTTAAATATAATACAATAAGATTAGAGTCATAAATCTCAAAGCACTGGCTGTTTACACGGAGATATTTACCAGTCGTATCTCAGACACTCTTAGATGGAATCACGTCTCAGAGATGCTTGAGCAAGTATCTGATAGACTGTGTTCTGTCAAATCTGCATATGGCTGCAAATTTCAATCTGTAGACCAAATAGACAGAGACATTTAGAATATGTGGCATCTGATCCTGCGTGACAGTGATACAGGCTGACGGTCATTCTGTAACTGAAGCCTCCTCGAACATAGACACAGACACAGACTGGACATACAACTAAACCCGAAATCACTCACGTACAAAAACAATGTGACTTCTTTCCATGAAATTCGGTTGAAACATTCATGGTCCCAAGAGGCTGAATCCTGATGAGTTAGTAGACCCCATGAGTTTTCATCATGACAACAACAGACCAGGTCGTTTTTCCTCCCCACTGTCACCAAGTGCTTGCTCATTGTGTGAACTGTTCAGTCTCTCTCTATAATATTGTAAGGTCTTGACCAGCATTTAAAGCGCCTTGAGATAATGTAAGTTATGATTTGATGCTATGCAAATAAAATTTAATTGAATTGAATTTAAAAACGAATGACTAATTATAACTGCTAACTATGGCATGCTAACATGCTTAACGATAACTGTAAACATAAAGTGATCCAGTGTTTTTCCACGCGCGATGGAAAAAAAAAACCACTGGATCACTTTTACTCCACCATCAAACACACATACCGCTCCATCCCCCGCGCCCAGATGGTCCCGACACTCAGACAACAGCTGAAGAGGGCCAAACCAATCAGGACTACTACAAGGAGATGGACTCCAGAAGCACTGGAGATGCTTCAGGACTGGAGTCCACTGACTGGGAGACTATGAGACGCCCTGAGGACAACAACAACTCGTTTACTGACACTGTCTGTTCATATATTAACTTCTGTGAGCAGATATGCCTCCCAACCAAAACCAATCATTAAATACAACAACCACAAGCCCTCCTTCACCAAACAGCTGAGAGAACTCAGGCGCCAAAAAGAACAGGCATACAGGGAGGGAGACATGGATACCTTCAGACCGGCAAGACAGAACCTCAAGAAGGACATTAGATCAGCCAAGGAGGACTACAAAGCCAGGCTGAAGTGTGATTCAAACAACAACCCTGCAGCCGGCTGAAATACACTCAGGGCACGCACAAATAACAACAAGTGAAGCCCTGCAATCACCCCATCCCCTGGTCTGGCAGACGAACTTAACACTTTCTTTTTGTGTTGTTTTACTCGTGTGTTTTTGCACCAAGTTAAATTCCTGTGTACTATGTACATTTGGCGAATAAAAGGGATTCTGATTCTGATTAAACATATGAAAATGCTATATTAGCATTAAGCCAAGGCTAATCCCTGTCATGTCTTAAAGGGACTGATTTCGACATGGCCTATCCAAACCAAACAGTTACAACTCAAGCCAAACAAAACTGCCTAAAAGAAAAAAGGAGACACAGAACAGAGAGAGTGAGAGCAGCGAGAACAGAGAAGAACGATTAAATACTTAGGTGTTCCAGTAAAAACAGGTCACAATTTCCCACTTGTCCAACACTTTAATTTAATATACCTCAAAAAGTAATGACCAAATTTCTATTAGCTTGCTAACTATAGCATGCTAACGTGATTAACGACAGCCATAAACAGATGATGATGCTGTTAGCATTAAGCTGACAAGCCAAGGCAGCTAAGGCTAATTACAGTCATGTTTTAAAGGGACAACTGTACAGAGGATAAGCCTTTTGATTTCAACATAGTCAACCACAACTGTCGAGCTAAACAACAAGCATTTACAACTCTCTCCACTTCATCTCCATCGAACCATTAACATTTTTTGACTGACTCAAACTGACACTCCTGACTCATTACAACATCTTTCAACTCCTCTTTAGCTCTAACTGTAATACGTGCAGAGTTACACTTTATTCTGCACACACACACACACACACACACACACTGGTGAGGCATAAATCAAATTGCAAGCCCTTCAGATGAGACTGCCTTACTTAGTTTCTATATTTTCCGCCAAACGCTGAAATCCCTCCTAAAGATAAAAACCTAACTCACACATTCCCCACATGCACAACTTATGTGAAGCATAGCAACATGTTTATGGAAGTTCAATGACGCTCTTTCACGGTTAGCACAATAAATGACAGAATAAAGCATGTGTTTCTTCACTGCTGTGTGAGTGCGGCTGTACCCAAGGAGTTGGGAGACAATGGGTGCTCACAGCTGATGCAGTGCAGGGGGGCGGTGGGCGTAGACACATGTACAAGCTTTCTCTTTCTCTTTATTCTCTAGTTTAGACATACACAATGAAAAGTATTCTCTGGCTTCACGATTTTAATGAATTCAAAACAAGTTAACAGAAGCACTCACTGTTTTGTATGTACTGCATCACATGCGTGGCTGGTTGAGTGTGTTTTTTTCTTGTTGGTTTTCTCTCAAGAATCAAGGTAACATGTTTTATGTGCTCTATGTTACAAATCTGACTCTGTGAAAGTGTGAAAGGTGGAAAAATTGGAGAGGAAAAGGTAGAAAACTAAGAGCATGTGCACATCCAAAAGTATAACTAATCCAGGAGAGGGGGGTGGGGTGGTGGTGGTGGTGGTGGGGGGGGTGTGGCACTCTGTGAGCCCACGGACCTCTCTCTTTGCTTTGGTGGAGTGGTTACATAACATAACCCACCATCCAGCCTGTGGATAGAAGACCAACTCTGATACAATCATCGCACTGAGCTGTTGTGCACGTGCACGTGTTAAGAGGGGTGTGTGTATCTTTCTCTCTCTCTCTCCTCTCTCTCTCTCTCTCTCTCTCTTTTTCTCTCCACGCCCCCCTCCCATCTTTCATCCCAGTCCTCTCATAGGTTCTTTGCAAAGGTAACGGAAAGACCGGGGGCTTTATAAAGATCCACTTTGTTCACTCGGTCTCGCTGCTCGTTTCATTTTTTCGGTCTTTCTCGTTTCCGCACAGCTCACACCAAAATGCCCAGCAAGAGGAAGAAGAACAAGCGTCGCATGAGGAGAGTGGTAAGCAGTAGCAGGCGCACTTTCCCCCCCCCTCGCTAGGTTTTTATTCTCATCACGACCATATATAAAGTCTCTAGATTATGAATTTAAGTCAGTTAGTGGGGACCTTCCTCTTCGAAATATTACATTTTGATCATTTGTGTTGGTTGATGTTTTGTGCGTCTGTTAATAGTTTTTTTTTTTTTTCCTGAAAAAGAAATAAAAACTAGTCTTTGTTCACTTAACCCACAGTGTTTGCCGATGCCTAAAAATGGGAATAGGCTACGGCTTAAAATCTTGTAAATATTCACTTCTGATCAGATTAAGCTTCTAAACAAAAACTTGAATCCAAAATTCAACAGAAAGAAAAGAGACCAGGTGTTTATTTATTTATTTATTTTTAACTTTTCTATTGGTACGTCGTGTTGTGTTAATTCTGTTACTATCAATCATGACTTATTGGACTGCACACATTCACGCTGTGTTGTTGCTTTTCTTGTGACGCGCGCTGCTGCGAGGAGCGCTCCGAGCTCCGCGCGTAAAATCTCGCAGATGTAAGAAGGCTGCACCAAAATTACACATATGGATAAAATATCGAAATTATACCGACAGTTACAGCTGCGCGACACTTCTGGTTCCAGTTTGAGGCACAAGAGACAAAGACGATTGTTAAACTCCGTGCGCCATGTGGGATCTGTGTCAAATGGGAAAAGCAGGGATGGAGATTTTAGGTTTCTGTATTTCTGTGATTTATAGTCATTAATCGTGAAAGGCGCCACATTCAAAAACATGAAAAAGAATATTAACTTCTCCACCCCTCATGCACATACACTCATAGTACACGATACCTTGACTTATGGAGCTGCACTGTTGTCATTCTTATGCAACTCAATGTGCTGACGCAGCAACGTCGCTGACATGATAATTGACATATGTGACTCCATCTGTCTTAGGTAACTGGGAGAAATTTCACTTCTGAACATTCAGTGCCCAAAGCGATGGGGTGGGTGTGGCAGAGAGGGGAGGGGTGTATGATGAGTGAGAAAGTAACACAGAAGCTCCAGTTTCTCCGAGGGCAAAGGTTACTCCATCCCCAAACACTTTTTTCTGACATTGTTTAATCACAATAGTTAATTATTTCAAACCATGTTTTATTTTCTAATTTTAACTTAAATATAATCCCCTGCTTCACCACTAAAGGCTGAGTTATAGCCCAGTCCTGCTGTTCTGGTAAGACTTCTCAGTATGGAGTTTGTGGCATTCTTCCTCAACCCCCACCCTCCCTTAAGTGCCTGGCTGGCTGGCCGGTCCGTGACTCTCAACACCACACAACTGTATTTGGTAGTGTCTTGACCGGAGGAATGTCTTGCTTTAGTTTTGCCAGACTGGAGTCTGCACAGTCTCTCTGATTCTCTCTGCTAGTCTACTAGTGACACTCAGATAAAAATGGCACCTGAAGTCAGTTACAGTGTGGTGTTATCACCAATTCCCTCAGAGATATCAGAGCTCAGTAAAGGGAAGGAGCTGCTGAACACTTGAAGCCATCAAGCTGAGTGCTCCTTGTCGGCCACACCAACTTTGTATGCACCTTTGATTAAAAAAAAGGGGTTTCTCTCCGAGGAAGGCCGGGCCTCCTTGATGCAGCCTGAGGGACACAGTCATCAACATTGATTAATTGAAGTTTATATATTACTCTGCTAGTGAGGTTTGGATTCTAGACAGCGAGCTATTTGTGGGCAAAGATGAGGGGGGGGAGGGTTGTTTTGATGGTGGCTAGCTGGACAGGCGTAGACATATGCACCTACACACACAAGCTCCGCTGGCTTACAGCATTGGTCTAGCACTGTGAATGCCGAACTGGCTGTCGGCCTAACAAAAGCATTTTCGGGGAGTGATTGTAACCTGATTATAACCTGATTATGATGTGATTAGGCCCACTGTCTGGCCCGCGGGGCACCCATCAGTGCTGCTGACTCGCACGGTTTCCCTTCCCGCTTCACCAGACCTGTCAGGACCGCTCTGATTCAACTAATTAGCTCCCATTATCTAACTAGCTTTGCTGGGCCCACTCCCAGTTACTCAGCCCCTCCCTTCATTGGTCTGGGCTCCTAAAAACCGCCATTAAAGCCCGAGGGGGTTTTGTCCGGAGCTGAAAAACATGTCGGACCTGGCTGGGATGGCATGCTAGGTATTCCTGCAGACAGAAATGTGCTAGAATGAAGCTCAGGCTGACAAAAACATAAGTATTTGAGCACGTTGAGGCACTCAAAAGCATTCAGACCTTAAACCTCACATTTGCCTGTTCCTTTGTACTTTGCCTTTATCTTTTATCAGTTTGCTTGACATACTCAGCGCCTGTTTGAAGACATTTTACCTTCAGTTTCATTAAGTACTCAAGAGGAATCAAGTTTCACACTCCTCAGCTTTCAGATTTTAAAATCTCAGTTGTTTGAAAGAAATTATCAACGTGTACTACCCTAAACTAATTGACTTTTAATATATTAATATTTAATTACACTTGGTAATTTGCACTAATTTACAAGTAAGACATCATTGTAATGACAAAACAACAATCATTAACCCAGAGGTTTTTGTGTCTTTCCCCCTTTGCAGCAAGCTCAGAGGAGAGCCCTCGAAGAGCAGCACGCGTCCAACCCGCCCGTCAAAGCCAGCCCTGGGATTGCCGCAAGTGCGCCCCCTGCAGCAACCCCAAAAAAAGCCGCTAAAACTCCGGCGCGAGCTCCAGAAAAGATCCCAGAGGCCGTTCCCATTGCTGTCCCCATTGTTGAGACCCCCAAAGCAGAACCAAAACCAGTTGTGAAAGAACCTGTCGTAGAGCCCGTCCCAGTCAAAGCAGAAGCACCAGAGCCCGAGGCTGTGGTGCTGGAACAGACTCCAGCGGAAGTTGAGGTTGAAGTCCCAGCACCGGTCACTGAAGAAGCACCAGTCGTCGAGACTCCACCAGCGGCGCCCCCTGTAGTTGAAGCTCCTGTCGTACAGGAGGCTGAACCCGTCATTCCTGAAACAGAACCAGTACCTGAGGTAAGAAAGCTTTTTTTAAACTCTGAAATAGATTTCGTCGGCGGAGCCATGTTTCAAAACTTCCCAGTAAAAAATGTATTTTGTTGTCGCCATTAGTTTTACAAATCAACTCTGCGACATCTCACCAAGCAGGTTCCTTGGCTGGCGAGTTGGGTTCAGCATGTACCTTCATATAAAGTGCTTGCAGTTGCCAATTTACATGCTTCTTTCTCAAATGTTGGAGAAATTAGCGTCATAAGGTTCCATTTTGCATATGGTTTGCCGGAAAGATATACGTACTATGGGCTGTTTGAGTTTATATTTTGTCAGCGTGAGTTTTGTTGGCTTTTGTGAAATGGTTTGGGTCTTTTTTTAGCTGCTCTTTGGTCAAAATGTGCTGTGGCTCGGTCCTCATGGGAGAAAGGAGGTGGAAGTGGTGGGGGGTGGGAGGCATAGGGAACAACATGTTCCATTTAGCAAAGAGGTGGAAAGTAGGAGAGGGATTGTGGGTTACATCAGTGGGAGACCGGGCAGAGGTTTTTCATCACCTATATCTAAACTGCCAATAAGGACGCGTCTTTCTTTTTTTTTTCTTTTCTTCTAACGTATGCTATCAAGGAGGTTGTTTTGAGTTTTGAAGTCGATTAAGCTAAATGAACAAATGATTGGCTTTAAGAAGTGATTTTGTTTTATACAAGCGTTTGGTCTATACTGCAGTTTTACATAGATTCATACCTGTTTGGTCTATACCACAAAATAATGTCTCACTAGGTTGTTTTTGCCCTTTAAATACATTTTTATTAGCAAGTTGAAAAATAGTGGTCTTTGTAGTTTCATGCAGACTTCATTCACATATACTGGGAACAGAATGTTCTGTCTCAACCAGTAGACTGCAGGCGATGTGGAGACGCACACACGAGCTGCACACCGCACATACATGTACATGTGCCTTAACATGCGTGCACACACACGCACACACACACACACGCACAAACGCATACATGCACACGCATACACGCACACGCGTACATTTGTACAGCTATCTCTGTGGGGACTCGTCACTGACACAATGCATTTCCTAGCTCCTTACCCTAATCTTAACAATCCCAACTAAATGCCTAACTTCAACCCGTACCCTAACCTAAACATATTTCTAACCCTAATCCTTAAACCAAGTCTTAACCCTCAAAAAATCCTTTAAACTTGTGGTGTTCAGCATCTTTGTCCACACGAAGCACCATAGATCCCACAAATATAGTTAAACAAACACACACACACACACACACACACACAAAACTCCTGGTCTTCGCTCCCAGTAACTGAGCCATGAGCACATATGGTGCACATGTATGTTCTCACATGTATGTTAGTGTGCACATGTACACAAGGCCCAGTGTAAGAGGAGACATGAGGTGTTATTAATGGGATGTTCATTTCCTTTGACTTCACTCAGAGCTACACTGTGCTCCAGTAATCACAGAGATGTCATTTAGTTGGAGGTTTGGGTTGTGACCTCTGACCCAGAAGTGTTGCTCTACCCACTGATCTATACGTGGCCAGTGAAGACGTTTCTATAGGAGATTGACTGCCCATCACCGTGTAGTTGTTGAGCTGCGGCAGTATCAACCCCCTCTGTCCCTTCATCCCTACCCCCCTCCTTCTCTCCTTCCCTCCCTTCCTCCCATCCACCACACCACCCATCTCTCCCCTTCCTCCCCTCTTGCCTCACTTTTTGTCAGCTCCTCCACTGCTTGCAGATGTGCCAGATTCAGCTGAGAAACAGAAACACACGCAGACTCTTTTGTAAAACTGAAAATTAGTCAGTGCAGACTGCAGCTGCAGACACGTACAGCTGTATGTTTTACTTGCTTCGTTTTGTGAACTTTTTGTCAGATTTTGTGAACCCTGAGCTTTGGTAAACTTGCACTTGCGGCCACAGTTGTGCAAGAAAGCGTTCGCTCACAGATGATAGAATCAGAGCAGGCATAAATGGGGCTCGTATTCAGCTGGCTTTGGGGCCAAAAAGAGGTGGCCCCGCAACTTCTGGATGCCGGCACGGAGAGTCAGGTGAGTATAAACCCACCACTCAATCTACAGACCCGCTGAATGCGTTTCATTTTTCTGTGGCCTAAAGCGACGGTGGGTGCGGCTCCTGCTGAGGCTGAACATTTTGTACCAGCTTGCTCCCTCTGTGCTCCTGCAGCCCTCCACTCCTCCCCCCTTCTGTCCCTCACAGTTTTCCCTTGTAAATTTGCTCTACCTCGTCAACCTTCCTGCCCTCCCACCGCTTGTTCCTCTCTTGTCTCTCCTTTCTCCCTCCTCCCCCCTCCTCCTCCTCTGCCCCCACTCTTTAATTTTTCTCCTCTCCTCTCTTGTCCCCCTTCCCTTCTTCCATCATCCCCCTTCTCTCTTCCCCTCCTATGGGCAACCTGTGGGCCCCTATTAGCTGGTCTAATTAGCACATGCACGCGTCCATACATGTGTCTTCCTTCTATTGTTAGTTCTTTACTGGGAGTACTGGGAGGGGGCTGCACTGGGAAAGGTGGGATATTGAGTTCCATGTTGGGTGGTGGGGGGTACATCTGCCTGTTGAAGCATGTTTGTAGTTTAGCCTTTGGTATTTGTGTGCTGAAGAGGAGATTACAGACAGCTGTCACAACCTTTTTAAAGTCTCTGACGGATCTCTAGTGAAGGGATGACTCGGGGTACGTTCAGTTTCAGTTTGCTCACAATGAAAACAGCAAATGATCGGTGAGCATATTTTCTTTTTATCACATCTGACATTTAGCCGGAGAGAGAGAGAGAGTAGTGGAGGACAAAGATGTGTGAAGTGATACTTATTTCAGACTTAGTTAGAAAAATGATCACCTTGTGGCAAAACATGGGCCCCACAATCCTCCCCCAGCCTTCCTCCACACACACACACACACACACACATATATACTACCCTCCCCACACCTTCTCGCAACTTTTATGGGTTTGTTTTGTGAGACACGTGTACTTTTGCACAGAGAACAGTCAAAATGTCTCGACTTCTGCTTTAATTTTTGCTTTTTAAGAACTTCCCTTTTATACTGAGAATGACTTCACAGAGCCTATGTTATACATTTTCTTTATTTCATTTCTAGTTATCTTGATAAAGAAGATTGGTCCTTCCAAAATCTGTATATGTGTGTGTGTGTGTGTGTGTGTGTGTGTGTGTGTGTGTGTGTGTGTGTGCATAAAGTTGGTTGGAACATAGAGTTCAGTGCATTTAGGTACACTATGTCATTCTTCTTGTGTTAAAATGGGCTGTGTAAAACGTAGCTGCTCCTAGATCAGCTTTGGTTTGTGCTAAATTCGTCTTTTAGTAGGACTTGTGGTGCGGGATCTGTGTGCAGATCAGTTTGGTACAGAGTGTTCTGGTGGTGGGACACGCTGGAGGCTGCGTGTGTTTTACCATCAAGCAAAGGAAGGCCTATAATCCAGCTCCCCCTCCCCCCCTCCCCCCCGTACCATCCCTCCAAGGTTATATCTGCCCCTCTCAACTATACGTGCATGTTTGCCTACTTTTTTACTGCTTTTGTTCATTACTTGTGTAAAATGCTGCAGGACTGGATTCCTCACCTCTCAGAGACAGAGATGGACAAGTGTAACCACATGTGTCTGAACTGTCTTCTGTGACAGTTTCAACTCTCTTCTAACAACTGTAGATAGATGACATGAGATGTTTCTGTTCCAGTAGCAGCAGCAGCAGCAGCAGCAGCAGCAGCAGCAGCACATTGAGCCTGAGTGCACTAGACTTGTCCTATATTGAAGAAGAGCTGGTACAAAACAGGATAAATAATTTACCGTCGGACCATGAACATTTACAATATTTATGTGCCGCTCCCTGTGATTGCCACTATGGCTCAGCACACACGGCTGCACAGTGGGCACCAACAGTGGCCGTTTATGCTACTGGCAGCTGTTCCAGCAAAACGACGGCACGGCTGTAAAATAGAAAAATATGATCTTCGATGATGACTTTGATCATTATCTGCCCATTTTTTGGCATCTGTGTTGTAACACTAATAATACTATAACTTGAATAATAAGAAGAAATGGTCCTAAAGCGTTGCAAACCACAGAAAATCGTCTTGCTCATGGTCAACTTCTCTCTCCATCGCCCACTTGCGGTATCATGAATGCCGATGAGATGGTAAAAGATGTAATTAAACATGTGGGGGTTTTAAATTTATGTGGGTTTTGTGGAGTAACAGCAAACGCTGATTTAATGAGGTGAATATTTCAGTTTTCTGAACCTGAGGTGGATTTTACAGAGGAGGGCGTAACAGCTTCCCATTGTCCAATTGGTTGTAACCTTCCCGTAGATAGTATAATGTTCCTCCCCCTTCTCCCCCAACTACAGCTATACTCACACACAAAGCATATTCAAGGGAGAGTGTGTGCGTCTTCTGCTTGTGTTTGTGTGGACTGCCAGTCCACACTTACAAAATGTTCTCATTTTGGCAAACGTTTCCTGTTTTTTTGGATGCATTAAACCTGTTCAGAGCCTCACTGGGTTTTCGCCTTGAGGCCATCACAGCTACAGTTTGGTTGTTGTGTAGAAGATTATTTGGCTCTGGGCACATTTTTAGGACAGCTGTTTGTGCGCTTCCAGTGCTCGACCTTTAAAGTTAAAAAAAAAAAAAAGGTCAGAAAACAGGAGAATGGCAGCAGCACAAAATGAACCAAATATTTTTAATGGCCTATAAATGATTGTTAATGTATCCCAGAGTGCATTTTTAACGAGGTTCACTCTTTGCCAACTACACTCTGTCTTATTAAATACACATATATGATCATGATTGTTTTGCTGACTCTTGAATAAACACTCTCCCTCTTTCCATTATAGATCACACCCCCAGCTGAGGCTCCAGTGGCAGCTCCTGCTGAGGCTGAGGTAAAACAAACCTGCTTTTTACACACACACACACACACACACGCACACACACACACACACACACACACACACACACACACACACACACACACGCACACACACACACACACAACCCCTTTTCTGTCCCTCAAACCTCAACTCGTTCAGGCAGTATATATTTGTGGTGTGAGCCGCAGGCAGGTAACACGGGTGTGAATGAGTACGAGTGAAGCATAACTCACCATGACACTTTTCAAGCACTTTGATTTTTGAACAGCACATTTGAGAGACAACTTCAAACGGCTTTAAAGAGGCTCTGTGTAGAACAGAGCAACGCGAGCAGTGTGATTAAACAGATGCCTTTCAAAAAACAAATCCCACAACCACAAAAACATGCTCCCTTAACTTTTCCAAGATAACGAAAGTGAAAAAAAAAGGGGGGGGGGGATCACTGGTATAATTAATTAGTCGCCATTTAAATTTGCCCTTTTAAAAGTACAACAATCTCACATTTCTCAGTGTATGTGGTGTTTCTGCTCACGTGTCAGAACGCTTGTGGAAGTGACGGCTTACGTACAAAACAAGAGTATCTCAGAGTTTCCACTCGTGTTTTATAAGTTTACAGCAGCAGCAACTGGACAAGAGACAAACCTTTCACTGGAAACGCGTGTAAAGTTTCTGTGACTTAACTTGAGCTTCACACCTTATGAATAAGAACCACACTTTGCCTCAGGTCTCTTTCTCTTAAATAACAGAGCTCTCACATCACAGTCTGGCTCTCATACTCAAAATAAAAAACAACAAAGAAACATCTGTTTTATGAGTTGCACTGATTCTGCAAACAACTCAGCACATAGAAGATCTTGCTGATTCTCATTACTGATAAAAACAAAGAATCAAAACAGCCTGAAATTGTAGTTAGTAAGGGTTTTGATGCGATTTAAGTGCTGCAGTTGATGTGAATCCTAAAAAGCCCAGCAACAACGCTCAGTTCAGTGTGATTATAAGATTACTGTCTGTTCAGACAATTGCCACCAGCAAAAAGTTTGCACTTAAGTTAAAGAGATAAACAACCATTGTTTGTTCGTTCTGCTTTTCATCTGTCCATCCATCTATTGATCGAATTATCTGTCCCGTCAATAAAGAGTTTGCTTAACTGTGTTTTTCCAGGTTCAGTCAGTTGACGCAACAATCGTAACCACAGAGACTGAACAGGTGAGACTGAGCTTTTTATGACAGCATGGCTTCACATTATAGTCATGGATATAAAATCAGTGAATGTTTACCCAGGGAGATGCATGTTGCATGTTTTTTTTCCTAACGTGTGCCGTGTTGGTTTTGCATGTGCAGACACTTGATGTCTGCGAGCCAGAGACTGAAGTTGAGGCTGAGGCCTTGGCAGAGGAAGAGACAGTCACTGAGGTGGAGGCTGAGGCCTTGGCAGAGGAAGAGACAGTCACTGAGGTGGAGGCTGAGGCCTTGGCAGAGGAAGAGACAGTCACTGAGGTGGAGGCTGAGGCCTTGGCAGAGGAAGAGACAGTCACTGAGGCGGACGTAGAGGTGGAGGTGGAAGTGGAAGTGGAGGTGGCCGTCACAGAGGATATCTCCGCACCAGAGCCCGTCACCGAAGCCACTGAGGAGCCGGTGGTAGAAGAACATACGAGTGAGCAGGTTTTTGCTGAGGCAGAAGCTGCTGCGGCAGAGGTGGTTACGGAAACAGTGGTGGAGTCAGTGGAGGAGGTTATCACAGAGATACCTGAGCCTGAGCAGGTGACTGAGGCGGCGATCAGTCCTGCAGCTCCAGCTGAGGAGGAAGAGGAGGACGAAGCTGAAGTGGAAGTGTTGGCTGAAGAAAGTGCACCTGAAGTTCCTGCTGAGCCTGTCACAAATGCAGAGGTGCCACACTGATATAAAAAAAACTCCCCTCTTCTCTCTTTTTTGTGTTTTTCCATCTTTCCAGAAATGCAAAGTGATTTTTTAAAAAACGTTTCTAGCGTGTGATTTGTTGCTTGTGTGTAGCATGTGGCTTAAATGTTTCATCAGTAGGATCAAGCAGGTTTTCAAAAGCTGAAGTCTCTGATCTGTTTTCATGACATGTTTTGTCACTTGCATAATTTATTTCAAAATCTAATGTAATGGCAAACAGCACTGTGACCTTTAATTTGTTTTGTTTACACCAGGATGCTCCTGCCCAGACTGTGGAAATCCCAGTGGTGAGTATTTTTTCTTTTTCCCCCCCGCATCAAGAAATTTCAGTACATTTTACCTATTACCTTTCTTTTGGATTGTCAAGTAACTTTTGCATGAGTAGTAACACTTCAAAAATAGAAATGTTATTAATCGGCGTGTGTTGTGTACCTGTTGTCTCACCAGGTGCCAGACACTGTCCCTGAGGCTCCGGTAGAAGAGGCTGAAGAGGCTCCCGTCACTGAAGTCACAGAGGTAAAACACAAGGTTTTTTAATCAGTTTCATCTTTAACCTTCTGTGAAATGTTCTGTGCTGTGATAGTCAATGAGATCATCCACATAAACTTACCTGTGTGTGTTCTCTCCTCTTCTCTCTAGGCTCCTGCCGCTCAGGACGTTGCTGACACGCTGGTTGACGACTTTGTTGTCACAGAATCTGTCTCAGCAGTGGAGGTCGCCATAGCTGAGTCTGTTGCTGTCCAGCAGGTGAGAACTATACAAACTTCTTCCCTTCATCCTCTTCTGACGACCATACATCATTTAATTCAAATGTTATTTCTGGAAATATATTCATCTTTGCCAAGCTGTTGTACTCTATTTCAGCACCGATCAGCACTCATGGAATGACTCTCGTCCAATCAAATTACTTGGTCGCAACTAAATTTTAAATGCAGATTAATTCAGACCTGTGGCCACCAGGGGGCAGGTTGTAACAAACAAATGCAATGCAGCCTGGTGGGCGCTCAGTGTCACTGTAAAACTAATGTGTTAAATCAGTACAATCAAGTCATGTTCATTTCAAATGGTCCATTTGTATGACCATTTTCTGTTCTGACCGATTCCTGTCTCTGCTGCATTTAGGAAATTGTGGCCATGAGTGACACCCCCATCACCCAAACAGAATCTATGGATGTGACCCCTGCTGAGCCTGAACCTGAGCCTGAACCTGAGCCTGAGGCTGAGGCTGAGGCTGAGCCTGAGCCTGAGCCTGAGCCTGCTGCTGCTGCCCCTGCAGTGGAAATGGTTGTTGTAAGTTACCGTCTTGGTGACTTTCTCTTTGGTAGTCATATCCTGTAGCTTTGTGTGTTGTACAGTGCACAGTACATGTCTTTGAAAACACATATGTGGGTCTCTCTGTCTCCTAACCACCTTCCTTTCATTTCCAGGATGCTACTGCTGAGCAGACGTGTCTGGATGTGCTGTCAGAAGAACCCAAGTCAGAAATCTGTGACATGCCATGTCAGATGCAGCTCGCTGTTGAGTCTGTGCAGCTCAACTCGATGGTAAAAGAAAATGAATTTAAGACGAGAGGCATAGCTTTAGCTTTAAACCTTTTCTTGGAGTTGAATGAGTCACGTGTACATCATGTTTCCTGGTCATTTACAGATTTTTAAAAAAATTTAATATGGATTTAGTGATACTCAAAATATGTTTAAGAGCCAACTTAATTAACTTGTTTGCTATTAATAGTTGTGATGTGACATTGCACTTACCTGATCTGATGCCTTCTGTTGTTCAGGAGATGTCAGTGGAGGCAGCGTTGAATGGACACATCGTTCCAGAGGTGTCCATCGAGGGCTAGATCCCCGTCACACAGCTCTGAAGACCAGTTTTTGTCTCTGTAAGAGCCTCACAGTATTGAATCAGTTCTTTATCACATACATTACATCTCATTTTGTAGCCGTTTTATTCTCTGACCTTATTGTTCACCTCTAAACCACTCAGCAGCCACTAACCTTTCTTCTTCTCTGTGTTTCAGATTCCCCTTTGGTCATTTGGAGGACTCATAGCTTTAAAGGGAGTCAACCAGCTGACTTTTTATTTTTTATTTTTTTTAAATTTTTTTTAGGGCTTATGACAGAACGGACAGGAAATCGAAGGAACATCCACACTTTGAAGTGCCTTTCCTGTCTTGGTTCCTGTCAAAACACCAAACCAGATGTCAATATGCCAAACGCGCTGCATTCAAAGGCAGCAGGACAGACTAGGACTCGTCATAAGTTTGCAGATGTAGAAACAAACATATTGTGGCTCCTTTTAATCTGTATTTCTCTCCAAAGGCATGTACAGTGAATTTGCATCAGCAGTGGAAGCAGAGGTTGTTGAGAGGTGGAGAGTCCTAAAACAAGATGAATGGCAGTGCCTGGTATTTCTTACATGTTCTCACCTCTCCAGAACATCTGCCTCCACACTGCATACACTCAATGCATGTGAATACTGTAGCATCAGTGAAAGAGGCTATAGTTTGTACACGGGCCTATGTTCATACTTACGGGTGGGAGGGACAAATGTTTTTGTTGTTTTTTCAGATTCACATCTCAACATCACAGCTTTTTGCTCGACAGGCTCTCTTTACTCAGAGTCAGAGCTCCAAACTTTCACCCCAGCCTCTGTCTCTGCCCCCTTCTCTGTCCCCCACTTCTCCTCACTGCCCCCACTAAGTGCCAGAGCTTACATTAGTCTGATGCTAAAACACTTCCCGAGAGTTTTAGGTTGTACAGCACCAGTGGCCTCTGGAGGATGGCGGACATGAAGGGGACGAACTCAGAGGTTGTTTTTTTTTTTGTTTGTTTTTTTTGTCTCTCTTTTTCCCTCACTTTCTCCTTTTTTTAAATCGTTTTGTATAGACCGTATGATGCGCTACAGTTTTGTGTTCAATGTGTCCGGAGGGGAGATGTGATGTTATGTGATCTTTGAGATGAGGATCACTCGTGGGCTGTTTGACGGTCTGACTTAATCCAACTTTGAAATAAAGCTGTAACTCATCGTGATGCTGGAGTACGTGTTTCACTTTTGATACTGTTTCACTCATAGAATAACAGAGACAGGAAGGAAACTGTCAATCAGAAACGCGTCAGGCGTTCGGCAACAGAGAAACTTTCCTGGCAGTGGTTGCTTTCAAAGATGCAGCCTCTGTAAAAGATCATCTTTTTCTAATTTATCTTTGGTTGTGAATGTGAAGCCAATTTAAATCTCACATTTTGCCATTATGACTAATCCAAGGGAAATTATTTGTAAAATAAATTTTTGATAATTAACTAGGTGAACGAGGTAAAGAAAAATCTGGCTGAAGCTGTAGAGATTTTATTTTAGAAGGTTATGTAACGATAGTAAAATATGCTTTTATTTATGAGCACAGGGACGGGCACAGAATTGGGCTTGTTACTCAACAACTCAAAAACATATTGCCAGAGAATAAAAAAACCTCAGTCATTTTTTTCAAACCACTGATAATATTATCTTCAGTTAGCGTTCAACTTAGCTCGGCTGTTCATTTTAGAAATGAGCAATACTTGATAAGTTGCTAATCAATCAAATAATGAATACTTACTGGTCACAGACAGAACCCTAGAGTAAGATGATAAAAGCTAGAACAGGAATGACATACATGACTAGAAGGGCACATAACATAACTCCACCAAGGCAAACAGTAAACAACATACACCAGACTTCAGAGACACAAAATTCATATTGAATGACCTGGATATGCACCAAAATTGAATGACTTCTTCCTCGGCCAGTGATCCATCCCTCCTCCAAGTTCGGTGCAAATCGGTTCAGAAGTTTTTGCGTAATCCTGCTGACACATAAACAGACACGGGTGAAAATATAACCTCCTTGGCGGAGGTAAAAAAAAAAAAAAAAAAAGTAGCACGTTCCCAATGTGACCAGAGAACAGATAATTACTCTCCAATACATTCTTATAATGATCTCCAAAATAAAGACAATGAGACCAAAATATCTGCCTCAGATCAAAAGATTTTTAATCATTTGTTTTTGCATTGAAATCTACATTCATATTAGTATGATGTAATTTGGTTCAGTAAACACTGCCAATATGTGGTTTTGCAATCCTCCCTCTTAATACTATGATCACACTGTCAACAGGAGTTTCAACTGAATGTCAAGCATCAGTTTCTTTATTTTTTTTTTTCTTACTTATGTTTACTGGCCCCTCGTGTTGGAATTTTAACAAAATGTCAAAATGCAAAACAGAAGCAACAACTTCAGTTCTGCCATAAGAGAAAAAAAAAAAAGGAACAGAAAAGTAAAAAACAGAAAAAGACAGACAGGACAGACAAATGATAAACACATACCGCATAACAACAGAGAGGATATATATATTTGTAAAAGCACATTCGTATTAATAATAGATGCTTTGGAATGAAAACAGCAACAAAGAGTCTCACTGTGATCAACCAACAACTGTCCCGCTTGCACTCAGCACATTCCACTTATATATTATCTGATTTTTCTTTTCTTTTTTTTTTTTACTTGTGCCATTAATATGCATGAATACATGTCATTATAACCCCCAACCCTCCTAACACAAAACATAATAATAAATATGAAAACAGGAGATTTGATTGGTCCATGAGGTAAAATGTGAAATAATAATAATAATAATAAAAAAAAAAAGATTGAAAGGGCAAAAGTTGGAAAGATTTTGGAAAAGACAAACTTCCACAAAAAGAAAAGTGTGGCCTGAAAAACTAATACAGAAAAGCTTGTGATTACAGACAAGAAAGCATGATGACAAGGTTTCATTGTCTTCCCCCAGAAAGAAACACACACACACACACACACACACACACTCGCTCACTCACTCACACAATCACACAACCATTCACACAGTCTAGCGTGAAGCTCAATAACCAATCAGTTGCCCAGGCTGTAATCTTAACAAAGCCACTTGATGGATGATAATATTCATATTTACAATGAAGTGATGATTAACTGACGAAAAGCTCAATACAAACACAGAACGAACCCAAAAACAGACAAGCAAGAGTAAAACCAAGAGAAAACATTAAATCACCATCTTCTCTTTTCTTTCCTTCACTTTTTCATCTCCTCCTATGCACTGACATAAAAAAATGTCCATTGAAGTAGGTGCTGGAGGTGGGTGGGGCTTACAGAGGCAAAGAGAGAGGGGGGGTTAATGATGACAGTGATGATGGAGCAATGAGCAGTATGAGCGCTGCCACTCAGCAAAAAAAAAAAAAAAATCAGGCCGGTGTAGACTCTTCTCTGTTTCTGCTACAAGAAAAAGAGCACTTCGATAAAAGAGCCGCCGCCCCTTTGGGCTACCCTGGATTGAAATCAAACACACCCCACCTCCTGATGTTTGCAGATTCAGTGTGGGAGAGCATGCAGTCAGCTACACAGTGTAGCCCGAGTGGGTGGATTTCAAAGAGCACTTCAAAAACAACAAACAGCCGGCCCGCTCTGGTTTATATGGGGCTCCGAAACGAGTTCAGCTCCTTTGTCAGAAGTTAGAAGTTTAGGATGTGGGTTTGAACGTCGATCTGAGGAGTGTGTGCGTGCGTGTGCGTGTGTGTGTGTGTAGCAATAACTGCAATGGTAGAAGCAGCACTAGTAGTGTTCAGCAGGCAATAGTCTCGTCCTTCTGGAGAAGAAAAGGCTCAAGAAACAAACCCAACTCATTGTTGACCCCAAAAGGTGCAGCAGTAGCATTTCAATGTATCGTTGGGCATCATCAATAGATCTTGTTTCAAAATCCTGCTTCTGCATTAGGAATTCAGGGGTTTTCTTGTCCATTGGTTGCTGTGGCTGCTATGTTCCAATATTCATCAGCAGTGTTGGTTATTTTCTTTTTTTTTGAGGCAGCTGAGCTTAAAAGTTTTAAATTAAGTTTTGTAAATTTCCATGTAGTCTGACAGCCATTTTCTTTTTTTTCTTTTCTTTTTTTTTTTTTTTAACCTGTCAGCTAAATGACTGGTTGTTTGAAACGTGCCAGCCACAAATGACAAACTTACCAGCCACAGCATTTTATTAGTGTAGGATCATGAAATCTTTTTTTATGTGAATACCTCCGCCATGATAATCGTTTTGGTAATTTCAAAAGTCCTTGTATTAACCGATGTCTTTCCCTCTTTGTCTTCTTCCTGTGATTGTCACCCATTCCTCCCTCTTTTGCAGCACCGATCAGGCAGTCGTACAGGTAGGCAGTGAACGATCACGACATTTAACTGGCGGCTCATGAACCAGTGAGGAGGTTTTTAATACAGTCAGGCATGAGGCAAACTGTCTTTTTCCCTTGACTGTAGAAACAGAAAAACGTAAAGAGAAGAAGGAGAAGGGAGTGAAGGGAATGGTAGAGAGGACACCTCTCAGAGGCTTCTTTGCCCCCTAAGGCCCAATGTGGGCTCAGTCCTGTCTAATCTGGCCCAGTCTAACCCCTTGTTTGCTTAGGCCAAATCCAGTCCAGTCGGGTCTGGTCTGGTCTAGCTGGGATCCAGACCAGGGTTTTAGAAGAGTGCTTTGGATCCCTGGTTCTCGAACTCTGACCAGGCGTCGTTCAGTTCCATGAAGATCATTTTAGCGTAATGTTCATAAGGCTTGCCTGTTGCCTGCAGAGACAGCGAGAGCATACGTTTTGTGAATTAATAAAGAACAGTCAAGATGAGAGTAGAAATATTGACCTATAACTGACCTGGCTTAATGCCTAAGCTGCAGGTTATACTGTACCTTATCTGGATGGACAACCAGCACAGCCTTTCTGTAGTACTTCTTCACCTGGTCGGGTGTGACCAGGTCAGCCATGCCCACGGGCTTCCAGCGGGTTTCACCCTCCCACAGCACCGTGTGCAGGGTTGACAGCAGCGCTCGGATGTTTCGCTCCTTCCCCTCAATCCAGTCCAAGATCTGCAGCATTAAGAATGAAGCAAGCCTTTACTATTTTTAGCACGGAAAAGGGCAAATACTGGTTAGCGCTAAGAAGCTACTTTGTGAAGTAAAGCTCTGAGTACCACCTGCCAAAAAGTGCCATGTTGGTCTATCTAATTTTACCCACTGACTAAAAGGTGACTAAGGATCCCATTTAGGCCTGGTGAAATCATCCGGTGTGTTAAGCCAGTTATATCTACATTTCATCAACTCATTTATTTTGAATAGTGTTTGTTTTAGTCCTTCACACATGTATTTAGTTTGTTACCTGCAACTTAAGTGGATCCATGTCTTTGGTGATCTCCTGTCTTCTCATTTCAGCGATGGTCCTCGGTCCCCTCCTATCAGGCCTGGAGGCAAAACCCTGAGTCGACAGCAGGTCCTCAAAATCATCCTCCTTCACCTTCGGCTTGGGGCCTGCATTTCGACACAGCACAGAGAAATTAATTGGGCGATAATGGAAAATATGTGGGAATGAAAAGATGCAAGCAGAGTTTGTTATACAAGATGAGACCTTTGTGGATAAGACTGAAGATTATTTCAGCACCTTCGCTCCATTCCCAAGAAGATTTAGCATCAACACAATGAATATTACAGTTACTTCAATTTTAATCAGCTGGTAAATTCCAGTGCTTATTACTAGTCACGTTTATTCATTTCCACAAGCTTTGGAAAATATTTGAGTGATAGTTGAGGAAATTTAAACTTTAAAATGATCCATAGCTCTCCATCTACTCGGTGTCTCTTACCAAATCCAGGCCCACGCACTCCTCTCTCCTCCCTCCCACCGATGACACTGGAGAAGTTGAGGTTGTAGTTTGGTTTGGAGGGCTGTGAGCCTGCAGGCTGAGAAGCTGAGGATGCTTTGGGTGCGGATCCGGATCCAGATCCGGATCCTGATCCCGGCATCCAAGGTTTGCCCTGGGCTGAGGTGGGTCTTCCAGACTGCCAGGGCTGGGCTTGAGGCTTAGCAGAGGAGGAAGCGGAGGAAGAAGTGGAGGAGGAAGGAGCCTTTGTGCTAAACGAAGGCCCAGAAAAATTACTGCTGGAGGAACCTGCAAGAAAACACGGAGGAATGACAGTCAGTTACTTGAGATGAATCTTTAAGTTTTTTCTCTTAAAGCTATTTTCACCTTTTGAAACACCGCTCACGCTCAGTGTTGTTGCACAGTTACAGGAAACTGAATATGTGACCAGGACTTTTACCTGGTAAAGTGGAAGCCAAGTTTCCTAGGTCGGCAAAAGGATCAAAGGTCTGAGACTTGGCCTTTGACATAGACGACACACCAGAACCTACAAGCAGAGTAATAATGAGTAATATGTGAGTTAGAATTTTTGGGGTTCATAATTTTCTAGATAATACTGGACATTCGTAGAGCTCAGTAATGTTTCTGTCAGCTAACAAACCCTTACATAATTTTCCTCCACATACCTGTGTTGGTATAGTTGGGTTTGCTGGTGGTAGCGCTCATGCCAGTGGTGGTGCCAGCTGCCCAGCTGTCCCACCCACCCAGCAGGTCCGGTTGGCTGGCTGATGATGTCATCTTAGGGGCATCATTTACTAGCTTATCTGTTAACACACAAACGTCCAAAAACTGAGATTTTAAGACACTGTACGGAGGTCTCCGACAGTGAGATATGATGAGGCAGCGGAGGAACTTTGGACAGTTGGGATATAACGCCGAGTGATGTCACAGCAGCCGATGCACTTACTGAGGTTGAAGAGGCTGGTGTTGGAAGCAGGAGTTGGGTTACTGTGACCTGAACTGAACCCGCTGGTGGCTGAACTATCAGAACCCAACAAGTCTCCAAACAGGTCCGGTCCCGAGGCCTGTCGAGAGGAACCCACACTGGAGCCAACACCAGAGCCAGCCCCCATCCCAAACGGATCAAACAGGTCGTCCATGGCTGCAACACAGACACAGTGATATATAACTGGAAATATAACTGGAAGATTTTTTTTAAGATAACACAATCAGCACGTATTAAGCCTTGACCCTTACGTTTTGAGTCTGGTGTGGCCCCACTGGTCGGCCCACTGAAGAACAAGTCTTCCTGCACTGCTCCTGTCTGGCCAGCAGGGGGTGCAAACAGGTCGTTGAGGAGGTCACTGTTGCTGGATGCGGCTTTCATTCCTCCCTGGACTCCTTGATGAGGAGCAGAGGAGGAGTTGGAGGACATGGAAGGAGGTCCGGGGTCAGAGTTCAACCCCAAGAGATCAGCTGTGTCACCAACGGGAGATTCCTGGGCTGTAGGAGGGGAGGTCTGAGAGAAGATATGGACATTAATGGAATGACGGAGGAGCAAAATGAAGCATTTTGGCTGTACTTTTTAACACTGTCAGGGTGCATGAAATAGGACGTCATACTGTCTCGATGGCATCATATCCAAGAATTCCCTCACCTCGAAGTCAGCATCAAACAGCGGTTCACTGGGGTCACGTGACAGCGGCTCCCCACTGGGGGCAGAATAAGAGTAGGATTCTCCTTCTGATTGATCACTCAAGTCCTCGTGGTCATTCACGGATCCCCCTCCTTGACTGTCTGAGGCATCCTGAGGGCCGCTCACATCTACAGATACAAGAAGCAGCTCAGTGGAAATTTGAAGGGCACATTCCCTCAGTGAAGGCGGTGGTAAATCAGGAGGCTAGAGAATGTTTTATGGTGTAAATCCTATATGGTAAAATTAAGGAAGTAAACTAAATGCAAAGCACGCTCCTGCTCTTTAGGAAGGAGGATATTAACCAGAATACTCAGGAGGAATTTTAAAGCCAAAATATTATCACAAGAACACAAGTACAGTACCTTCCCAGTCCAGTGTCTGGAAGAAGTTGTTGGCGTTGGTATCGGTGCTCACAGGAGATTCTGATTCTGTTGCATTGGGGCCCTCGGGGGTCTGAACTGGCTGGGGCGTCTCTGAGTCGTAAAATGCCGAGGAACCTGGCTGACGAGGCAGCTCTGGCTTACCTGAAGTGATTGAGGTTCAATGTTTAGTTATATGTGAATGAGAAAAACACATTACCAGTGGGAGTGAAGGAAGAAAAGAAGAAAGACATATAGATTTATAAGTGAACTGATAAACAGATGGATTATTGTAGATACAGTAAACCAAACCCCACCACTCCCAACCCCAGAGTCTAGCTTTTTATTTTTTTAGTTAAGTCCACCTACCAAATTTGCTGAGGATCTCCTGCTGTTCATCACGAGAGGAGAAAAGGATTTTGGGGTTGAGGCCCTTGGTTTGGAAGCCGTCCCATGGAGGAGTCTTAGTGCTGGGTCTGTCCCTGGGTTCCACCTCAATGTCCAAGTTGACCTGGAACAAGTCTGGGTACTTCTCCTGGATGTCACAGGCATCCAAGTCATACCTGACAGGAGAACAGGTAGAAGGGAAAAGAGAGGGAAAAGGGAGAAGTTACGGAGAGGCCATATGAACAGAACTACTCATGTTGCCATAAAAGTTAGAAAGTCACTTTAACACCTCCACAACAACAGAGTGAGCTGATCAGAAAAGTCGATGCAATCAAACAGTAAATATGAAATTTGCAGAAGAGATGATGTTCATTCAGAAGACAGGCTCAAGACTCTATACATACTTGGCAAACTTGACAGTGGTCGCATTTCTGGGCACAAAACCTGTGTGGAACTGGATCTGAAACATTTTCATGGACGCCATCTGAAACAGAAAAGAATGGAATTTAAAATGTGAGTAAACCACGAATGCAACAGCACAGTCACGGGGCTTCTGAAGGGTCATTTTCCACAGAGATGCTGTGTCCGCTTAAGTTGTCATCGCGGGTATTTTAGGATCAATTGCACTCAAGCTTGCGTGTGTTTATACCTTGGCCTGTAGGCGTCCTCCCAGTGTAGATCTTGCATGATAGATCACCACCAGTACATCTCCCTGGACTGTCACATTGAGGGGAATCTCTGCTCTCCCATCCTCCATCTTAAAATCCCTGTAAAGAGCAAAAGAGTAAGAGAGAGAGAATGAATGATAGAGTACCAGTTTTTAAACATCTTTTTCAGATCAAGGGAAAGCTGAAAGTTATCCTTTTGCGTGTATTAACTTACTTCATCTTGTCGTACTCCTGCGATGTGGTGAGGACCCTCTCATCTCCAACGTACACCTCGCAGAACGGCCTGCACCCATTACGCTGCTTGTTGAACAGCGGCACGGGTGTCATGACGATGGAGCGAATTGTTATGGGCTTGCTGTGGGGGATGATGGGCTCCTCTGCCATCATGTCACACATGTACTCAATATACCTGCAACAATCAAAAGCAACATCAAGGTCATGTCTTGTTGGTTTTTGCTTAACAACTGAATGTTTTGCTGTAGAAAGATGGAAAAGCTTGAAAACTGAGACAAAACAACCTTTTCTACACCTCATGATTTCTATGTTGGTGTTGTTTTACCTCTTGTGTGAGGGCGCTATGCCAGGTGGGCAGCGTTTCATTGAGAACATGTAGACAGCAGCCTCCGCTGTGGTGAAGAGGCGACAGAAACACAGGAAGGAGCAAACGGCCACTGCTGATGCCGCCCTGCCATCCTGCAGGGAGAAAAGGTGAAGGTAACAGTTACAGATATGGCAGCCGTCACCCTCCTCCTTATTTTTTTTCCCCCTTATCATCCATTCATGTCTTGCTCTTGTCTTCCTCTTATCATCTCTCTCCGCCTGATCATGCATGACAGACTAAATCATCAGTCATCTTAATGGCGAGAGGCTACTTACCAGACAGTGAACTATACAGATGTTCCTCTGGTCTTGTTTGAGCCACAGATGCATGTTCTTACACACACTGTAGAGACTGCGGAGGTTGGGAGCACGGCGCACCTGCCAGTTACACTCTGAAACCTACATACACACACATAAAGATACACACCTGTAATAACACGAATCTTGTTTAGCTGCACATTAGTGAAAAAATAACCCTCTTCAGACGAAAACTAAACTTGTGTATCACAGTGCCAACTTACACTGTGTTGGTTTAGAGTAAACAAACCATCCTCTCTCACACACACACACACACACACTTCATACCCTGTTGTGGAATCGAGAAGGCCTGTATGATCGTTTGGAGAGGTTGTAGACAGCATAGTGGCCAGCATGACGGGAATCCAGGAACAGACGCACGTCCTCAATGTTGTTCTTTATCGCTGACTCCACCCCCTCCGCTGGGAAGGACATGACTACACACACACACACACACACACACGTAAAATGTATGTGATGTAAAATGTACACATGTAAAATAATGACTTAATGTCAAAATTATGCAGAAAGAGACAAAAATAATTAAGTAAGAAAGCTTTATGGAGGGTGCTGTGCCTACCTGCTATTCTAGAGGTGATGTACGAAATATCCAGGTCTCCTTTGGCATAGCTGTAAGAGAAATTACAACTACACTTATAAAAGGATAAAATACACAAAGTGGTAGGGAGGACAAAACACAAATCTCTACCAGAAATAAAACGAGAAAGAAAACAGTTTAGACTAAGGTCTGGGAGCCTGCACAAATACAGCCATTAACAAACAGCTTAGTGACACAAGCCGGTTCAGGAACAAGAAAGCGTTGTATTACAATAAACTGATATGACTCCATAATGTTGCAGGATGGAGAGGTAAATGAGTGATGCCTGAATGGACATCTCTACCAGGGCTACCACACAATACAGAATTTCAACCAGTTCTGATGAAGGCTGTCCCACAAGATATGGAAATTAGACAAAGACAGTCCCCAGTTCATCTTTTGAACTTCTTCTGAGTCTTTAAAGTGGCACATGCATCTGGCAGATGCTTGCTGTCACATGAGAATACTCTCAGAAGAATCATTACTCCTTCACGTTAAGCCTTATATTAACATATAATTAAAGTAGAAATGAGGTTACACTGGATTTTTACGGCTAACAAAATCATATTGGAACAATGACAGCAGCAAAAACAACACAGCACGTTTCCTAAGGACAAACAAACTGGAGGCCAAGCAAAGAAATTGATCTATGATCTATGCTGATGACACTCGGCTTTATCTGTACGGTGTTAGGACACACAGGTGATGCTAGTTAAGACACAGATGCTGCTGAAATGGTGATTTAGTAAGCAGTGGAGCCATATTAAAACCGTAACTGCCATTCATTCATTCACTCATTCATTCCTTCCTTATAAATTAAACATACAAATTATATGATTAGTATAGTGTATAATTTAGACTGCTTTCTGGTATTTACCTTGTCAAACAAAGGCCAACATTGCTGCACGATTAGGTTTAATTTCAATGCCTTGGTACTAATTGGGCCAATAGTTTCCTTTATCATGCATAGAGCATACGTTTCACTTGTTTTGTTATTCGCTGATGTCATTTTCCAATTTATTTTCACTCTAAAAATGATACTCTATCCATCTATCCAATTCACATCACGCTCTGCATTCATTCAACTGAATTATTGAATGTGTGATGTTAGGATCAGCAAGCTGTGATGACGGACACAGCACAACAAAAAATGCATAGTTGGTTGTTTTCAATTTTTCCTCTAAATCAAACACAAACTGTGGGACACACAGAGCGACGCATGAGTTGATGCACTTCACCGACCCATATTTACCTTGGGCTGCTAGGTGATGGACACATAGAGGGACCATGAGGGATTGGGACAGAAAAAAGAAACAACAAAAAAAATAAACAAAAACGACCAAACAAATGTAACAAACTGATGATAGAATAACAAAATGAAACATCAAACGTTAACGGGTTTGGATGGAGTGGCTATTTAAGGAACACTTTGCTTCATATTTTCAACCCTTTTATACGTATCAGTCACAGAGGCCGACTGGATCTAGGCCGGCCGACTAGATAACTCCCATCGTCCACTGACTTCTTCTCATGCCAGTGGCTGGTCAAAGAACTACAAAGGGAGATAACCTGCAATAAGATTTGTCTTTCCCTGCTGTCACAGTGGAGAACCACATTTCAGGCAGAGAGCCAAGTAGCAAAATGTTCCTTTTAAAAGGAAAATCTGGGGGCAGGGTAAGTATGATTATGAATGGTTATATAGACAGTTTGCAAGTGTAGAAATATAATAATAATCATCGACATTTACGTCAGGCAGGTGAAACAGGATGACTGACAATTACAACATATTGTTTAGAAAATGTTTACGCTATTTGGTGGATGCCTGCATTCAAATTTCCTTACAGCACCACAAACATGGAGGTGGAATTGTCTGGGTTAAATAAGTATTAAATAGACCGATGTGAAGTAGCCAGTGCAAAATGTGGAAAGTTCAACTGAATGTTCAGTCAGCTCCACAGTTTATAAAAACATTATCATTATGGAAATCATGAGATCAATTCAGCAACACATGTCCATGTTATGCCAAGTAAGGAAAAAACTGACTGTCTGGTTATATGAATGAAGCACAGTCAGCTGATTTGTAATTACAATAACGACTAACTGAAAAGACTTAAACTAAAATATGAATAAATACAACAATGATATTCATGGTAACATGGTTGAAGCACCTTACCTGGCTACTGACTGGATCACCTTAGAGGAAGTGTCCTTTATGTTGGTGAGGAAGCGCTCTGTTCCCCCCCTTAAGATGTCCAGGAGGCCACTGCCCGACTGATCAGGATCGTACATGCCTATGGGCATCAGGGGAAAGAGACAGAACGCTGAATAAGATGCATTTGCGTTTGTTGCCATAGTTTAAGCACTGACACAGTTAATACAACAATGACGACAAAATATTTGCATAAAAAAAATCTGTAATATTTTCATTTTCAAATTCTTATCTTATAACCTGATGTTGAGACACAACAACAGGCAGAAGACTCAGACTGATTCAACATCATGTATTGCTCAGGTCTGGAGGTATGAATGGACACGAGGACTGGTGTCACTCTCAAGGGAAAGAGCAAACACATTCTACCTTGCGACAGATGGTTGACTGACAGTGCAGCAATCCTCTTAATGGCCAGTACTCAGCCTGTACGTGCGTTTGTATAGCTGTTTGTGTGTATACATGGGAAAATGATAAGCCCGTTAAGCTCGGTTAAAGGAAATGTAAAGATAAAATATAATTTTGTCACCAAGTACCTTCAGCTCATTCTCTTAACGATCTCATTTTAATATCCAAAGAAAGAGACTGAGCTGCTTCCTGAGCTTGCGTACTTTGCTTCAGCCTGCTTCAGACACACTGCAGGGTGGACAATCAACCGGTCATCGTACCAAATGCCAGTATTTGGTCTGCGGCTGTATATTTGTTTTACAGTTTGCTTTTCATCATTTCACCATGGCCACGCATCAGTCAAGGTTAGAGGGTTACAGAGCGACTGAATATAACATTGACAATGAAACAGTGCAGTGGAAACCATGTTGACTCACAAAAAAAAGAAATCCTGAGAATGGAGAGATTGAGAGTAAAATATCTCATTATGAAATGTCCGCTGTATTGATCGTCATTCTATAAATCACCATGCAAAGGCTCGGTTACATAATTTTAATTTCAATCACACATGAGGATCTGGATCTGGTTAAAAACAACTGACCTACTGACTGTTAGTCATGACCCCCTGTCTCAGGAGGAAGATACTTTTCAGTTTCCTCACAGGACCCTGGATACAAAGCAACTGTTGTGTGTGTATTTTGTGTGGCAGCAGTCGGGTGGTCACGGGCGAACCAACCAGATTACCTACTGCCATGCGTGACTTCCAGAGATACGGGCGGTGTCTCGGGGGTATGGATATGTGCGTGTGAACATGTGCTCCTGGCTGATTAGAAATTAGGGCTTGTAAGAAAAGATAAGTTCAGTGAAATTAGGTCTTTTGTTCAATCGTATCTCGAAAAACAGCTGTACAGCTGTTTCTAAGTCATAACATGTAGTTATTTTGTCAGTTTGTTGGAGTGCAGCATAGCTAATGTATCCACACTTGAAACAAAGAAACATTATAAAAAAAAAACATACACAAACCCACAATCTCTCTAACAAACACGGGCCCAACCCTGTTGAGAGCATTGCATTGTCACCTAAACATTCCCTCACCTGCATTGTTGTGGACATTATGGACCTGCATCGGCGGCTGGGCTCCATTGTTGCCAAAACCTCCATTCTGCTCCAGCAGCTGCAGACATTCATAGCCATCATACACTGGACGCCAACAGTAGTACGCACTCAACATTGTAACAGGTAGTTCACAAAATTAAAACTAAGATGACAAAAAAGAGGGAGATAAGAAAATCATCAGAAAGACAAAAACCTTCCTACAAAATGTCATCTTAAAAAATGTTTTTTTTTTTGGTTTAAAATACCAAATTACATCCCAGCAAAGAATAAAAATGGAGCTTGATAGAAAATAACGGTCAGAGGATCACAAATAGAGGAACAGAAAAAATCCGTTCCAATCAGTTCCAAAGATTTCCAAAAAGCAGACACTACATAACGTAAAACTGCTCATCTGAGATGTGTTGGATAAAAATAATTTTCCAATGAGAACTGGAGCGTCTGGGTCTGTGTTAAAGCAGCCAGACTGTGTCTCTCTTCCTCTCTGGGACGTCTAGCGCATTTCCCTCTCAGTATTTCACTTCCATCTTTGTTCTCTTCCTTCACAAGTTTCCTCCTCTGTGCTCCATCTCACAGTCTGCCTCTCCATATGTCTGTGCCAAGAAGCAGCAGAGAGAGGAGGAGGAGAAGGAGGAGAAGTAGGAGGATTATAATCTCCTCATGTCCAGCAGGGAAACCCCTTCTTAACCTTAATCAGATCAGCAATCGCCAAATCTGCCTTCACACTGCACACCAGCCTTATCAGGACTGCCTTCAGTAAGAAATTGGTTGGGATATAGACAAACACTGTTCCCTAATTAACTAATTTGTTCCCAAGGGAGAAAAAAAAGCACTTAAGTATTCATATTTCTTTTTTAATTGTAGTAGAAATTTAGTTCAAGATACAAACACTGACTCCATCAACCAGGCACATGTTGCAGAACAGAAAGTTGTCAGCAGAAAGAAGAGTCACTGCAAACCTGGAGATTTTTGACATTGAAATCAGCTTTATGTATATGACAACTGTGGTTGAGGATTTGGTGATAAGTACCAGGATTTGTGGATTTGTGGTAAGAACCATAAGAAGCTGTGGCTGCTAAGTTGGTCCTGGCTTTTTTTCTGCTGCAAAACCGCGGCTAAAATCTTCAATCTGATTGTGCTGAATTAGCCTCTGTGGGTGGTAGATGAAAGAAGAAGTATCTGCCTCAACACAACAGTGACTCTGCCAGCCACAATCCTGCTTTACTAATGAGGCGCTGGTATCGGTTCATGTTTATTTTGAATTTCAGTTCACACATTTTCCACCTCTGCGTCTCTCTGTTTCTTTGGACCCACTAGGACGACGCCAGCTGGGAAGAAAGGAGCTTGGAGGAAGAGAATACAGACTCCTTTGTGCCAGCCACTCTGTGTGTGTGTGTGTGTGTGTGTGTGTGTGTGTTGTTTGTGAAGCTAAACAAGTGTCACCACATCTGCAATTTCAGAGCGTACGAGTGTGCGTGCACGTTTACGCACACGGTGGAGGAAGCTGTGCAGTCGCCCCGTCAATACCCTTCTAACAGGCTCGCAGACACTGAGGATGTGCTTCTGTGGCTCAGCCAGTCAACTCGTTTACTCACCACATTACTCAAATACACTTTTACTGTGAAAGTAATCCTCTACTCAAAATTGAAAACCGAAGCAGACACATTATAACTGCTACCCACGGTGTCTGGTGAATTCAAGAATTCGCATTTAGAAATTAGACTAACTCAGAAACCACACACTATTAAACAAAATGGAAAGTCTAATTTCCTTCATCAGTTACCAGTCTACTTATTTCATTGCTGCAGGCACTTTCTAATCTAGGTGTTTTGTCATTTCCTCTTGTCCCTTAGTCAACAAATTAACGAGCCAGAACCAAAACTTAGCTCCATTTCAGTGCTGATATTTTCTTTGTTATTTGATATTTCCTCAAAATCCAATCTGTGTTTGTTTCAACTGTATTTGGGAAGGCAGTGACTTCAATTTCAACAGGACTTACATAGAAAAAAGTTCAGGTTTTGCTTGCAACAAAACAGCACAGCATAGTCATCATGAACTACAAGCTAAAGATGGAATAACTAATTGATAGTGAAGAAGACCTTTTACTGTAGTATAACTTCTTTAATCTAGCGCCATTGTATTTTTTTCACAACAGCACTGCATGCAGTCATGCACACACACCTACCTCTGTAATGGGAGACTTGGGGTTGACGTTGCGTGCTGCTGCTATCTCCTGGAGCTGGTTGACCAACTCTGTAATAGACAGACGCTCCTCTGGGTTCACCTTCAACATGGATCCTGGAGAGTGGGAGGAGGAGGAGGAGGAGGAGGAGGAGGAGGAGGAGAGGGGTGCATTGGAGGGAGGAAGGAAGGAAATTTGAAGGGGGATGTTAAAATCTAAAGAGGTGGTGCAACAAAAAATGAGCCTGCTGGAGAAGGCGATTATAAATGCTGTGAGGTCAGGTTTGTGGATAATACAATGGTAATACCAGTTATGAAAAATCAAGAAACTTAAGAAAATATACAGTTAATCAGTAACTGATTTTTCATTACTCAAACAAAATGATAAAAAAATGTATTACTTTTTAAATTTACATTTTCATGTGTGACACTTTGCAGGAAATGGACATTACTTTCCACCAGATGGAGCTTTTCAACTTGATTTACTAGTTTAGAAATTTTACCCAATTAACCTGCCTTCAATTTTTACAGTATATGAACGCTACGTCTAGAGGTGCCGTCCTAAACATTAGTATATTTGGCTCGTGGTGCCAACTGTGACTCATGGGCAAGCACAGAAGCAGATAAATGAATGAATAAACGGATGAACGGATTGATGAGAATAAACTAGCACGGACGAGCCGGCAGAAAGACAGGCAGGACGTACGTATGAGGTCGTGATACACAGTGTACTTGACATCGTTCTGAGGGATGGAGTATTTCCCATTGACGATTTGTAGCTTGGCCCCCTCCTCGAATGGGTGCTGCTTAAAACACAGCAGGTAGAGGATGCATCCAAGGGCCTGTGTGGAAGAGCAGAAAAAATAATAAACTCCCAAGTCATTTTATGAACAGAAGTGCAGAAAGTGATCATCAGCCTAAAAAGTCGTGTTGTTGTGTTGCTGTTGTGGGTTTCTTGTGTGAAAGGTCAATGTTATTATTTCTCGTTTGATAAAAGGAAATACCGCTTTCCCCAAACCTAAGAGGAAAACACAACTTTTATTCCTCACCAACAGACTGTGACTATGGTCTGTTGACAGTACACAATGTTGTTTGCTGTTTTAACAAAACAGTCACAGCATCTCCTGAATCAGAAATTGCTGTGGTTGGATCTTTGATTGTCTTGGCTTCACAGAGAACCAGTCTTATAGACATTGGGTCTCGCTACCTCAGATGAGGCAAAGGTACGATCTGTAACATGACTGGACCCGGGTTAACACTATTGTCCTCATGGTAGCTGACAGCAGAACAAATGCAAAGAGAGAAAAGTAAAGGGGTCTGACCCAGATGTCCTGTTTCTCATTGATGGGGAAGTTGGAGTAGAGATCAATCATCTCTGGCGTTCGGTATGCTGGAGTTGTGTTCCTTGTGATCTACACAGAAAGAAAAAAACAAAATAAACACAGCTGATTTTAGAACAAATTATCTTAAAACCTTCTGATTATTTTGAGGACAAATAATTACTTGTCCCCACATTAAGAAGTAAGCATGCTTTTTCCACTTCAGATTTCCGATCATAAAAAGCTTTTTCCTCCAGCATCTTGTTTGTGCCACCAGCCTGAAAATAGGCGCCTGATGGACACCCATGTTATTACATTAAGAGACCAGGATCTCTGGGGTCCTGCACACTGAGGTCATCTGTGGCAAAGCTCCTGTGTGTGAGTGTGTGTCTGTGTGGCTATGGTATAAATATAATTAACCTCATTGATCAGTCCTTCCTGGACCTCCAGCTGTTAATTCGATTGAAGGTTTCTGGTTCCTGTCCAATAACATATTAGTATTACCACTGATCCACTGTGACTTCTGGATGTGTTGTTTTTTCTCTCAATTAAAAAATTGACTTTCATAATGAAATTAGAGAATATAATATTCAGAGAAAACTGGCTGTTCTTTGTTATGTTAAAACTTATAGTGCAAATAAAACCTTTGTCTGATGTGAAATATTTATATTTTTATATATTTATATTTTCTGTATTTCTCAAAACATGTACTAAAGACACCTGGTGTAAAACAACCTTCTTAAAATCAAGACCATGAAATATACTGACAATATCAGGGATGAAAAAACTAATATATACATGTAGATTATTTCAATATTATTGGAGATAAACAAAACTTGAAGCAAAAAAAAAGAAGAATCAATGTATTGTATAAGGAGGGATGTGTTGACATTAGCCTGAACTGATGTTTGAGTGTGTGCGCACCTCATCCTCCACCATGGACCTCTTCTGTGCCGACCAGCTGTAGTCAGGGTAATGTGACACTGTGGTGGCGCTGCCAAAGTCACAAAGCTTGATGGTGCCCTGGTTACTAATCAAGAGGTTCTCAATCTGCAACACATCAAGTAAACAGCAAGCATGTCAATCAATACATTTATAATTAGCAATTAGTGATCGTAATAGCTGCTGATTTAAAGTATTACCAATTGTTTTGCTTTAAATTGCAGCATCTTATACATATAATCACCTACACATACACATATTATAGATACTACCACCAAGGACAGACCGACCTTGAGGTCTCTGTGTATGATTGGAGGTTTCTGTTTGTGCATGTGCTGCACGGCGCGGCACGTCTGGTAGAGGATTTTCAGTACAGTGTCACATGACAGGGGAGCTCTCTGCTCGACCCGCTTTATAAAGTCCACCAGCTGACCTGAGGCAGAGGAGACACACAGAGATGAATGAATGAAAACACATCAGTCAAAGTGAAAGTGACACCTGCTACTAACCACATGGATTTTTTTTTGACTGTTGATTGTAAGTTGTCAGAAAATATAAGACCCTGCAGATAAAAGGGGAAGCCTTGCATCATGGATTAAAATACCTAATCAAATAATGGAATTAAAAGATGCTTCACATACATCATAGAAATGTTTGAAAGTAGTACTGATACATCATTTTCAAGCGTAAGTAAAGAGCTGTTTGCTTTTACAGCTGAAAAACTGCTGAACGAAAACGAACAGAAAGGAAGCGGAAAGGCCACAGACGGGAAACGGTTTCATCACAAACGCCTTTCAGTTAAAGTTACTGGGAAACAGTAGTGGCACCTCAGATTTACAGCACTTTAGCTGGAAGAATGAGTAAGCACTGATTCAGCAGTGACGGAACAGACAGAGAATGAGGAACAGAAGTACAAGTATTGGGAAAATGTCTTTGGAAGTGTGTGTGTATGTGTGCGTGTGTGTGCGTGTGTGTGTGTGTATTTACCTTTACACAGCTCAGTTAGGATAAGGAACTCGGCCTGTCCAGTGTCTGACTCCTCCTTGCTGATGGAGGCAGCAGAGCAGAACTGGACCATGTTGGGATGACCTGACAGCTTTTTCTATGGAACCAGTGGGTCAAGGAACATACAGCATGTACACGACTGTGGTGTCAGGCCTGGCCTCGGGTCAGTTATTTCAGAATCTCAAACAGAAATCACTGATCACAGTCACTGATTAAACTTTGAGTTTAATGAGTCATTGTGGCCACAGATTTGGGTAGAAATCTCTAACCAATTCTACTTTGATGCATAGCCTCAAACGAGCAGTTTGTTCCTAAACTGTACTGCAGCTTGTTTCGGTCAATTTGGGAAGAGATTATAGTGGGGTGATAGGAGGAGTTCACCCGGTGACTTTAAAGTTTGTTTTTCTGCTTCATCAGCATTCAAGTCATCAAACGTTATGCAAATAACTACGCTCTGAAAAGACAAATGTTGCAATGGATCCAGGAACATAGTGTGTCATTTACCAATAGCCTGTGCCTCCACAATGTGCCTCACAGCATGAATCAACTATTGCCCAACTGTGCAAGAGATGTCCCAGCATTTTTCAAAGCTGCTCGCCAAAAGGTTCATTGGTCCCCTCCACTGACTCAGTTTTTCTCATTAAAAAAAAACAAAAACTGGGGCTTCATAAAATAAAACAGCTCCAGAAGCACTGAAGTGCAGTGGATGCTTCAGGCCTTTAGAGATAAGAAAACTGAGAAAAGATTCACAAATGTCAAGCTTGTAAGCACAGAACCACATAATACATAGCAGTCTGTGTTTGTGTAAAACCACAAGTTAAACACTGTAATTATATGCTAGTCCCTGGCATTGTGTGGTGTTGCCAATAAACAGTAGTAATGACAGTTTATTACGCTGGAGGTGCATTCCACAACCTTATGAAGTCATGGGTGAGAGTTTAACTTGCCTTTGTCACATGTCACCATCTGCTGTGTGTTAAAAAAGAAACGCTCTATAGTGATCTTAAGAAAAAAACTGTCTTTTCATGCTGGTCTGGAAATGATAATGGATACCATGAAGCAGACTTCCTGTATGATTTCCTTGTTCTTCTCCTCCTCATTGGACAGCAGCCTCTGAAACAATAGCACACACACACAGACACAGACCATTGGTTTGTTGCTCATCAACAGTCTACACATCATTCGCTTTGAAGATGAGAAAAAGGATTTCAAGGCCAAGTCAAACTGAATAAGAGATTATCACATTAACTGCTCATGCTGATTACAGAGACCGACCGGCTCAGTGGCCACCATTGACGCAGGGACCAAACTAAAATGGATCTTCACAAGCAAACACAATCAAACATGGTCAGTATTTAACACCTTGATATTTAATACCTCTGGTAGCATCTTAACCCTACATAACCAGCAGTGTTACAGAGAAGAGACCACTGAACCTATCTGCCCAAAATCTTCATACTAAACACCAACAATAAAGAAATTTCACAATCTGCAGTGTTTAATTTTAGTTGAGAAAAGCATGATTACACATACAACACGTACAGTATAGAGTATAGAATTTATTAAGTATAGAGTCCCTGCATAATCAAAACTTTGCCATAATTATAAGAAACAACATGCTTGAGGAATGTTTCCTGAGCAAAGGGATCGACAGAATATTAGCAGCCCACATTAGCACATTAAACAGTTTCTTAATATGCAGTTAGCATAGCATAGTGTCTAAATAGGAAAAGGGCTAAAGTCCTCTCTGTGTTATACTGCGAAGGGTTAAGATGATAAAGTCCACTCATATGGAGTAATGTAGTGCATACACAGCAATTTACACACTGACTGGTATTTACTAATAATGTGTTTTACAAGTGTGTTTTGTAGAAGGCAGAATCAGTGTGCACAGAGCTAATGTTGCTGATTCAGTACATCATTTATAGACATTGGCGTGCCTAATAAGAAGGGAGTGAATTAATGAAGGAATGTGCAATACTGACTGGTACAGCCAAAATGTAAGAGTGGCTCAACATGTAATAAGTAGTAACGGGTACAATTTCCTTTGTGGTTACTTCTTTATCTTACCTTCAGGGCATAGTCTTTACCACTGCTCATGTCCTGGGCTTCATACACAAAGGCAAATCCACCTGAGAAAAGAGAAGAGAAGAGCGACCAGGATGTAATTCACTTTGTCTCTATCTACATGAATACTACATATGACTCTTAAGCTCTTAAAATGAAACATGATCATCAATTCATCAATCGCAGATGTTCAGTGCACTGCAGAAACTATGTGGTGCAGTGTGGGATGTGCTGTAATATGGTCTAATGCAGCTACTGCCTTGAATTAATGTTGAATTTGTTATGGCATAATTGTAAAAATGACAACTCACAAAAAAAGCACTGGTTGTGTGGGTCTATGGTACAACTGAGTACTGAAACAAACACATCCACACTTGATATGTCACTCGTCTTTGGGATTACTAAGGACAGCTATAAAAAAAAACAAACAAACGAGAGGGAACATATTCAATGCCCCCAGAACACCATACATCCCACTCCACAGTATACTGAACTCAGTGACTTTTACCTCATGACCTCAGATAGCACAAAACATTCCAGCAGCACCCTGCTCCCTACACAACCACAAACAGTCAAACCTACAAGCTGCCAAGTACAATAATCACTGTCTTATCTTTCGGCCACTGAGTGGCCACATTGTAGAAGTTGGAGCTTAAATGCTTTGCTGAAGAACACCACAACACACTTGACGTCTCTTGTCACAAGATCACTTCCTTAACATTTAGGCTACCGCTAAGCCCGGCTGAACCTCCACCTTTTCACTGAAGGTGTGGCTGAAACCTGAACTGGTGATAATCTGCCAAGCGCTGCTGTATTCATTAGCACGCTATCAGAGAGGAAGGAGAATCAGCTTTTCATGACCAGTATGATCAGCCTTACACAAACATCCACACAACTGGACATGCATTTTTACACCAGTGAGGCATACAGATCAAAACCCTGCCCTCACTACAATGTATTTCATGGAGGAAATCTGTGCTACTTAAAGCCCAGTCACTTAAAGATAATATAAGATAATCTAAACTTTACTGATCTCACACAGGGAATTTTAAGTGTCACAATAGTATGACAATAGATGCACAGATGAAACTTTTTAAAAACATTTTCTATATGGACAATTTTAAATAATTAACGATGGGTAAGTACTTGTTGAGTTAAATATCGATCTGTTCACAGCTGTGAACAAAGGTCTTGTACAAAGATGTTGAACTATGGGTGGAATTTATGGTCCGTGACATTTACAATATGTCAACTATGACAATTTCTTCCTACATCAGTACATAACATTTCTTTTCTTGCACTGGCTTCATTTTGAATTTTGAGACTTAAGTCACTGTGGCTGGCAGACAAGAAACTTTTTCATCAAGTGTTTGTGCTCACAGGTATATGTACTGAGCAAGCCACACTTTAAACAAGGCCAGGGCAGGGTTACCATAGCAATGAGTAAATCAACTACCAGCCTTCCTTTGCTCTGTGAAAACCCAAAAGAGGACACTCAAGATTCCAATCAGGTCTTTATTTACACAGGGAAGATTACCCAGGTGTATTATCCGAACTTTCATTCAGCCAGCTATCACTTCAGTACATAATTTCTTATCCACTGGAACAACATCTGTGAGCAATGCCACTGACTTTGCTTTGAGAATTCACACCCGTCCCTGTGGGGATCACATGTCTTCCTCTGTTTTGTTCTGGCAAAGGGAGGGAATGAAAAGAAATGAAAAGCTCAATTTCCTTTGCTCCAATTACCAAGCCATTCCAAGAGAAATACTGAGAGGTGGGGTAACACTCCTTCTTTATCATTCCCTATGTTGTTAAATCTTACTCAGGTTAGAATCTTTGTGCGCATGTTAAATAATTACAGGAATATAAAATGAAAGAAGCAGATCTTATCCTTATCCAGTCTAGCTCTGAATAAAGAGAGCTCTCTGGTCTACTGTTTCACCTGCTCAGAAAGGGGACATGAAAGGCAAAAGAAAGTGAAGTGAATGTGAAGATCCCAATCTTTGCCTCACTAACCTGAAGAGGACAGAGTCTGTGGTTGTCAAGCTTAGTTAAGTACTACAATGATGACAAACCAAAAAGATTCTTTGAAGTGGAACAAACCTTGATTGCCTATCTGCCCATGCGGCAGGTACAACGCACAGCAAAACTAGTCAAAGCTGTAAAAAAAAAAAAAAAAAAAATACAACCATCTTGTTACAGCCAGCCATTGTATTCTCTCACCAAAGATCTCAGTGAGGGACGGCAACAAAGAACAGGCCTTCAAACAGCAGGACGGGAATTGAAAAGGCAGTAGTTTAGTGTAAAATGATCTTGAGTTTTGGCATCTGCTCTAACTTTACAAGTTTTATCTCTCTCCAGCCAACTATCATGGCTGATGATGTGCAATCACAACACTGATTATACTGTTGATTAGAGTAGGATTGTTGCAGAAACAATAAGTTGATAGTGTACCTACAGGAAGTTAAATAACAACAATTTACTTTAGCGTATAATGACTAACATTATATTAATTGTTTACATTAATCATTTACTGTTTGCTCTACCAGCCACTATGGCAAGTAACTAACCATGTACGATAGTATAGCAAGACTGTCTTGCCACTTTGCAGGGGGCATGAAACAGCAACAATCACTGTTTGCTGCCACAGAGAGGAAACATGACCCGTGGGTTTACACATGTCCTGTAACCAGAGTCACTGCATAAAGACAAATACAGGCTGTGTCAGATTCAAACTCACACATTATTATAAACCAATTTTGCTGAAGTAGCTGTTTCTTTGAATTTTACAGCACATGATGAGGGGACAGCCGTAATGGTATTTTTTGTAATTAATATGTAGCTCATAAGTAAGATCATTCATCTTAGACTTGCTTTAGAAAACTATATATTGAAAAGTCAAAGAAGTCAAACTTTAAAAGTGTCATGCTGATCGTCCCAGGACTAATTCAGAAATTTAAAAACCAGGTTTCCTGGTCATTTAATCTTTCGCTTTTCATTTGTTTATTTTGCAGCTCAAGCCAGAAACACATGAATAAAAGAAAAAAAAGGGGGGGGGGGATCAGGGAAAGAGGAGTACTGGCTCCAAACCAGTCTCTCGCTTGATGACAGAGGGAAGAGTCTGACAAAGCTCTGTAGATGCTTTGATTTGGTTGTTAGTTTCATTCACATTAAAACTAACAGAGTCCTGAACACAGCCTGTTAACGAAGAGTCTGGGTAACAACACTGTCATTACAGATAGTTTTATTCTATCACTGCATGTCGACGTGTCTCCTCTACAGTGATCTTTCTCTTGAGTCAAACATGTCTTCCTGCCTAGAAAAAAAATAAGGCTTGAGGTGTGTAGCTAACAACAGATTGAGAGCTGATAGACAAGTAAAATGCAGTCTTGCGTACATTCATGTTTCTCGCTGTGACTTAACTTGCAGCTCAACAACAACAGATGGTAACGTAACAGACAAGACAAGTTAAAAGTTGTCCGCATCACCTTCTCACTCCATGATCTGGAAATTGATTTGGCGCCTGTTGGACATACGAAACCAAATTATCAACTGGTGTTTACTTGGTGACTCATAGCTCTGCACTTGCTAAAGCTATTTTCACTGACTACCTATAGAGGTTTGTTAGCCCGTTCAGCTAGCTAGCTAGCATGCCAAGCCGCGCGAGCCGTTATCAACATTTCACGTAGAGTTACGCCATCTCACCTTCTGCGATCACCCTCTTGATCCTCAGTTTCATGTCACCGAGCTCAACGACTTGTCCGACGAAGTCATTCTGGTCCCGGCTGGCCGCTCCGGACGAGCCGGGCCCGGCTAGAAAATCCAGTGCCGACTGGAACAGGGACATCTTATCCGCCCAGCTTCAGACTCACAGAAGCCGGCTCCGGGCGAGGGAAAGAGCTGTCAAAATCCCAGCAAGCTCAGCAGAAACACTATAGGGCGGTTTACTCTGTTATGAAGACTTGTAATCAGGTGATATTATTCTTTCACTGGAAGCAAACATCCTCTTCCTGCTGCTAGGCTGACGAGGCCGCCACCATCGCCAATGCTGCTGACTTCCGTGAGGGGCGATGACGCTACGACACGACCCAGTCATGTGACGTAGAAAAAAATGTTGCTGATGTTTTCCTTGTGTTGAAATGTAACCATACAGAGGCATTTTCATATCCACGCTTTGAAATTAATATTTGTCTAAACTGAATGTCGGATAAAGATATTTTAATATTCACAAAGAAGGAACTTGGTAAAAACCCAGATTCACTGGACAGTCACTAAACCTATCCATTCAGACTATGTGTTCGTGATATAAAGCTTCCTCTTTTATTTGAACATTTTCTTTGCAGGAAAATACAGATGCACATACTGGCAGTGAAAAGGGTCCGTGCATGAAGTTTAATTCTTCGGCAGTTGTTCACGTTATATAATGAAAAATGAAAATTGAACAAGGAAGTCGAGACCCGGAAACAGAGACAGCTCGTCTTCAAAGTAAAGGCTGCAGCGGTCAATTTAACGAGAGCTAAGCTAAATAAATAAACATACTGTGTAAATAATTAACATAATTCATAACTACTATAGTTTTTTCTGCTAGGCCACAACTGATCAGGAATACATTTCCAATCAACACTGAATTTTTAGGGGGAGTGGCACTGGAGCGAGGGGGAGGACCAACAGCACTGGATGAGGGGCCAGGCTGTTCATTGTCTGGGGGAAAAGGAGGAGGAGAAGGCAGACCCCTGCTGGAGGGCCCAGGCTGCCCCTTGGGGACATTGAAGTTTAAGGGCTGTCCTTCTTCCACCTGTACCAAGGACAGATCCTTTGCTGAAAGGAGAGTCTGGCCAGCACCTGGAACACACATACAAACACAGACTGTTTTAGTATTTTCATCTTTCATTAAAAGATAAATCACAGTACAGGTTACAACACACCAACATAGCTTTATGACAAACTGAGTACTCAATTCAATTCAAAGACCTGGATGTTGATGGCCTGAGCCATCAACCATAGGCTGGCCAGCACTGCCTCTCTAATGTACATAGAGACGTACGTAGTCCTTGAGGATGAGGGACCACGAAGTCCTCATGGTCCCTCTGGACACGTGGCCACTGGGTGAAGACAGCAGAACTGGTTGCAAATGGCCTCCACCAGGCGACTGGCACTCGGCCAGTTTGCAGGGCCAGAGTTCAGTCCAAGAATACGGCTGAAAGATAATCATAGAGAGGAGTGTGTGTTAATATAGATCTGATACTCATTAGAGGAAACAATGATATCTGAAGTGAATCTCGCCTCTGGAGACTCTCCCTCCACTCCTCCTGGGAAATCCTCTGGATCACTGTGGTTGTCAGTCAAGCCAAACATCCTGTGCTTCCCCTCCAGTTGGGACCACTATGCCTCAATGAGATGGCAGATACCTCTGGGGTCCACCTCAAAGATGCACCCTTATCAATCTAACCGCCATCCTGCAAGGCCCTCAGAGCCCTCAGAGCAGGTGAGCACCTGGCCCGTACACGATACCAACATTGGTAATCTAGGCAGCCGTGTCAGAAGCAGCACCAGCAGCCTTCTTTGTCACCTGGACAGAGAGAGAGAGACAGAGAAAGGTTTCAAACTTTAATGTTTGTGTGTGAATTTAATACACACACGGCTGTGGTGTAAAAGCAGCTGTAAGAACATAATAAACGCTGATAAACTTTGCTTGCCTTCTTCAGGCTGGAGCAGTTAAAGGTGCAGGGCAATGTATGCACAGTTTTAGCTGGTTGTCAGAAAATAAATGTTGCACTCTGGAGCACAGGAATGAGAAGTGTGAATTCTTAAAAAAGGGCTGGGTTCTCCTTTAAATGCACAATCCATAATTGGAATATAGTGTTGCATCTTCAAAGCATCTGGTGCAGAAAAATAACTTATTATTATTGAATATTAAAGTCATTATAGAAGTCAGTCAAGTTAAAAATGAAAATGTAATTCAATAACAATGTAATTTTTCACACATGTAAGCTATGTGTTCTAGGATTACACGAGACTTGACTTTATGAATATAAGAGTAGTTACACTTGAGTGGTTATATTTCTACAAATGAAAGAAAGCGTACACAGGTCAAATCCCATCATATTATTAAGGGATTGTTTAGCCTCGGTCGCCCGGGGCGACGGGAGAAAGGCGTGCTGCAAGAGCGGGGAAGACCCCGGGAAAACTGACGTCAGCTGACGGAACTCCCCTCACCATCCCACATCCAGCCCCCAGGAGACTGCTGCTGTGTGACCTGGCCTCAGTCACACACAGCCAGTAGAAGGGCAGCCGATGCGCAAGCAGGCTTCGGTGAGAGATAGTGGAGATGGTGTCATCTGGTGACAGCGGATTCAAGACTGTTTACAAACGGAGACGGACGCACGGCGCGTCTCTCTCTCTTCCAGACGCGCTCACACCGGTTAGACAGCGGCAGACAGCCAGGCACAGAAAACAGAAACTCATGTCCAAACTGAGTGACTCAGGTTTCGAGGAAGATTTGGGATCCTCCCCGATTTCACCTCCGGCTCGGACAAATGTGTCCCCGCTCCGTTTAGATGAACCGGAGCCTCCTGCAGAGCAGCTGTCCAGCTGGTACCTCCAGTACGGAGACATCGGTTACAGTATCCAGAGGGAGAGGGAGGCGCAGTTTCATCCCTGCAACAGCTTGGCACGCCAGCCACAAGTAAGCTATAAGGCACTTTACAGTGTTGGGTCTCGTAGATTACACATGGTGAATGGAAATCACAATATAGGCTATAGAAATATTAAAATATGTGATTTAAAAAAAAACAAAAAAACATTCTGTATGAATTAGGCTACATGTTTGCATTTTTGACTTGTTGTCTGCCAAAAATGAGGCCTGATTTTCACATTTTACACTAATTAAGAGATCAACATCTGCAATATGATGTCATTGGTAATACCAAGACTATGAACTTTTGATAACTAATCATATAGTTTTACCATAGCTGATTATCAAAATCTTGTCAATAAGATTCAATAGTCTACTGAAATTGACACAAAACTGTTGTTGTTTTGTGGAACCAAAGAAGCACATGACATGACGTGGCTGAATGCATGAATACTTGGAATCAATGACATGGAAATATTTGTGAAATCCTGTTATAACAATGAAGGCTGCAGAAAAGATTGCATATATTTCTATGTAATTAAAATAATTCAAAATGTATTAAATACTAGCAAATTACTACTTTCATTCTGGTGCTTATTGCAATGGATTCTGTTTACTTGCAGCTGAATGAAGAGGCACGGTGTAAGCTTGTGAGCTGGCTCATCCCTGTACATAAACATTTCCGTCTGTCCTTTGAGTGCTGCTGCCTAGCAGTGAACATCATGGACAGGTTCTTGGCATCGACCGCGGTGGCTGCTGACTGCTTCCAGCTACTGGGTGTTACTGCACTTCTTCTCGCCAGTAAACAGGTGCGTCTTTGAGTGAAGTAAATGAGGTAAACAGATAGTTTGCACCTTTGGATTTCATTCAAATAAACTATCTCCCTTTCTCTGCATCACCAAGGTGGAAGTTTGCTCACCACGGATCAGCCATCTCTTGTCACTGTGCTGCGATGCCTTCACTAAAGAGCAGCTCTGCAACCTGGAGTGCCTCATCCTCCTCCGTCTCGATTTCCAGCTCGCTGCACCCACCCTGGCCTTTTTCCTGGACTATTACATCAACTGCATTGAGGCTGCGCAGCTTCTGACTGAGAACGCAGGTGGCGACAGGTTTGCAAGAATGAATCTAGACACAAAAAGCCCCAGGCAGTGCAGCAACCTTGCACGAAAGGTATGCGAGTTGAGTTTAGCAGACTATGCATTTAACAAATACCCACCATCTCTGACTGCTAGCTGTGCACTGAGGCTAGCCAGTGAGTTACTGAAAACTGAACAAGGGCTTGTTGATGCAACCACCCAGTCACAGGAAGACCGGTGGGACAGTTTTGTGAATGCATTATGTACCCAAGCAGCTTCTGTCCAACCACCTGAGAGCTCTGAGGTTTCTGAAAACCACTCTCTAAAAGTGAAGGGCCACTTCCAGCCTGTAGGTCAGGAGAACTACAACCACAACCTGGCCCGGGAGTGCAAGGACAACCTGAAGCTGTTGGTGTCATTAAACCACGAGATATTGGAGCTGATGTCCACTATGTGACTGCAGCATGCCACAACTGGCAAAATGCCAAATTCCCCTCCACTGTTGGGGTTTATTATTCTAGGGGTTATTTTAACAAACACAGAAGAAACACAGAAGTGAGAATAAAGTGCCCCATTTATATGTGTTAAGATGAAGGTGATGCTCAGAAGTAGGGTCTGGGGTTCATCCAGTCCTGTGCACTAAACTTCATGTACTGTATATCTCACAGACAATCACTCATACTTGATACCAGCCACTGAATGTTTAACAATGTGTTATTATTATTATTTTATATTTATTGATAGTAAGTTTTTGTTATAGCTATTGTTTTTGTTTTAAATTAATTCTAAATCAAGATTGTCATTTACTATATATGCACTGACCTGCTGCAGGTTTATAAGTTATGTTACTGTGGCAACCTGTTAATGAAGGACCTGAAAAAATGTACTGTGATGAATTGATTGATGTTATGAAATAAATGATCAGTAAATGAATTTCTGTTCGTCTGAATTGGTGATGAAATATGAAATTAATTTCAGCTGATGTTTAACAACCTTTGAAATGAGTGTGTCAGGAAGTCTTGATGACATAGAAAATCTTATCATGCTCACTTTGGCTTATTGCTGAAGGTAAACTACAAGGAGATAATAATTCAAGCAGATGGCCTATCCTGTAAGAGTGACATAATAAACAACGCTACAGTACGTGGTACGTGCTGTAAATGTGAAGTTATAGGGCCCCCTATGTGATAATAGCAAAAATAAATAGGCCTACTTTTCTCAAAGTGTAACTGATTCTTGTGGCTTCTTTTGCACTTTCGGTTCCCTTATCACGAAATCGATGGGTTTCTTGAATGGGATTTTGGTTGTATTCACACCATAGACCTAAATAGCCTACATATGTGTTGATAATACAACTTTTAATGTTGATTATCATTCTTGCTCTAATCCCAGCCTCATATAGCGATTAATAACCCCTCCTTCTATAGCATGACATATGCTATAACTTCACCTGCTTGGTGGGATACACATAAACCAAGACACTGAAGCATGTAAAGACCATCCTGTCTTCTGATGGGTTTTGGAACTATGCTGGCGCCATGTCGGCCTAATGCTCGGATCAAAGCAACAGTCTGGCCTTTGAACGCATTGCACCAGACAGAATATGTTAAAACTGCACAGATATCAATAAACAGGTTATTTCAAAAAGTTTACTATCATTTTTAATCATGCAAAGTAGCCTCACCGATTGCTTTATTTTTGAGAAACCTGTTCTGAACTTGCCTCTGTTTAAAGAGAGTTCAATGATGATTTTAGGAGACTGTTTAATCTTATAAAACATACTACATTTGCTACAACACGCTACAAAGCTCATAGTCAGATAGAAGCACTACAAAGATATACTGTAGATTATTTAGTTTTTGTGTATTATTATTTGTATCTTGGGTTGTTTGATATTATGTTTTTATTAATGTTATAGCAAAAAGGCCATAGTATTTTTTTCAGGGGCAGAAAATAACAGCTGTTGTATTCACAGCAAAAACATTTTAGACATTGGTTTGTCAACTTTAAAAATAGTGAATTGATGAAAAAAAGCAGCTATATCAATCACTGCTTTGATTTGACACTTTAAAAAAGTGTTATAAGCCACTGCTAATGAGTTCTTAGATAGATAGATAGATAGATAGATAGATAGATAGATAGATAGATGGATAGATAGATAGATAGATAGATAGATAGATACTTTATTTATCCCCTAGGGGAAATTCATCTGTCCAGTAGCTCATTAGTAAAAACAATAGTTGATAATAAATAATAAACAACAATAATTAATTAATTTAATTAATATGCTGACCAAAAGAACTTGCATGTTGTGTTGAAAATTATAATAGGCTAATAAAAAAAAGAATCAATGAGTGGTGGTGTAATTTTTAATTCGTATTGTGAAATATTTTCAAAATGATGCTACAGGCATATGTCTTAATTCTATAGCATAACTTTTAGAGTTTTGGGGGCAACTGCTGCAAAATTTCCCAATTTCACGGTGATTTTAAGGCATTATGCAGAAAAATCTTATCCTACTTCAATAAGATAATTCTCTTTGTTTTAGTTTACCGCAAATATCAGTATGACAACTTTGACCATTAAATGTCTTTGTATTGCCTCTTGCGTGATACACACTTTAGTATTTAGATGTTTGGATCTTCAAGCGCTTAAACAACAATTCTGTTTCTTCACACTGGTGAAAAAAGTGTCGGTGCTCCGGCAGCACTGCACCTACATGCTGCTGACACAGTGTCGACCACACAGGTGCATTCAGCGTTAAGTGCAAGGGGACTTAGTCTTGTTTGTTTACCAATAGAGGCATTTGTCACGAGTGTTTACCGAGCTGTCTGCTGTAATGACCCTTTTCCTTTTCCACTTTGCTTTAAATGTGGCAACAGGCATCGACCTGACCTGCTTTAGGTAAACATTTTACGCACAGTTGGACAGAAATTACGCACCTAATTCTATGGCCATCCGCGTTTTAAAACCTAATATCGGAAACGAAGCAGGATTGATTATCAAAGTGTTAATAATAATAAATGGACATATACATTAAATGCCTTGCTCCGTCTGGAAGCAATAAAATCACTGTGGTGTTATCCGTGATTTTATAAATTGTCGACCAGTCTTCACAAACTCATCGGCTGTTCTATTTGTCTTGGTGCTTATGTAGGCCATGACGATGAATGTTTAGTTTTTTCTTTTAAATAAAACATATGGTTTGAAGAGACCATGGCAAACTCTCCATGCGCCTCTGCCAGGGCGCTGGGAATACTTGGCCGCAGGCAGAGGGAGGGCAGATCTGACGCAGGGAACACCTGCTGCAACGGCGCCGTTATGCGCGGTACCACTTCACACTTCAGACCAGAAAACCGTTAATCTGCACCACTTCAATCTCCGAGGACGCTGTCACTCCCTGGAGACCAAATAGGTGCGTTTGATTGGGCCAAAAGTATGAAACCGCGGCATGGAGAGATGCAAACCGGGAGAATGTCGACTATATCAGCTCTATATCAAATCATGTCCCTTCAGTTCTGAGCTCCGTTCAGAGTTGAACTGATGGAGATGCCAAGAGACAGAAAGGTGTTTGGCGCTTTCTGCTACAACCAAATGACCCAGCAGCGGAGGAGAGCTGCAGTGAAACAGGTATGAACTCTTTGTCTTTGTAATGAGGCACACAGCACAGCTCTGTGCAGCTGAAAAGATGATTAAAACGCTTTCTACCTGTAGGATAAAGCGCTGTTGCCACGGAGCAGCAGTCCACTCACTGTCTACGTTGAGTTCCCCTGCATCACTGAACAAGGTATGCGCATCTCTGACATTATGGCTGAACTTCATGCAACATCTTTATGCGTGTACGTAAAAAGAAATCACGTGTGAAGAAATAAATTCGAGGGATTGAATCACTCAGTCACACTTTTCTTGTGTTGCAGCTTTTTCAACAATCGCATGGGATGATTTAGAGGACTGCGCCTCTGTCGTGAGACGGCAGAGCGATTCCCTCGGCTCTCAGGTGAGGGGAAACACCTCATAAGTAATAATAATAATAATCACCGTGTAAATCCACGCAGTTCCAACATTTTACATCTACCAGAGAGAAAAAAAAATCTGGGGCCAGATCTGCATCACCAGGCTGTTAATGTTTGACATGCTGTGCTGGAATCCTGCACGAATGGCATTGTAGTTTACTCATGACACGCAGGCTACTGCTAATTGGCTGGACCCTCACGAGTGTTGTTCACAAACTGCCTCTTTGGCACAGATCACCGTTCGCACGTAACGCATTACGCCTCTGAACACTCACTGAAATGACCACCTGGACGTGTTCAGTTATAAAGCCACAGTTCAATGCTTGGTGGGATTTCCAGGTAGAACTGTTATGATTTCTTAATCGAACGATTATTTCATAATACATCTATGTGTGTGTTAATCGTCAGTTTTATTCGTCCACAGGTGAATGAATCTGATGCAGATGACTTTGGAGATTATGCGCTGGATTTTATGGCAGGTGAGAAAACATTTCTACATCAAAAATTCAGCATTGAATGTGTGTGCTGAGCCACTATTGCTACTATATCATCATGATTATCATCATCATCACCTGAAGAGATCCTCTAAAGTCATGTCGGCTGAATCCCTGGATGTTTGCCTCCTCTGTCAGAGTCTCCCACCACACTGGAGAGCAGTCTGTCTCCAGCTGAACTGGTACCATTTCAGGGATGTGTCATACCTCCCCTCACCCCCCAGCAGGACTTCTCTCCAGAGGACAATCTTATTAACTCATCCACAGAGACAGGCAACCCACCTGCCCAGGATGGAGCTCTCTGGAGAGGCATCGCCCACTGTCACGTCAGGGCACTGGATCATTCCATGGAAGTCAACCATCAGGTAAATCTTTGGGGTTTTTTGATGACTGCAGTGCATACGAAAAGGTCATATTTAAATGTGATCTCAACCCTGAGAAGCATGAGTGAACAGATTTAGTTTTTTGTATCTGCAGCTCCACAAGACTCTTCACAGACGACAGGAAGAGATCGACTCCCTTCAGGAGAGAAACCTTCACCTCAGGCAGCTGGCCAGTCGAGCAAAGCACCTGGCCTCAGTGCTCGAAGTGAGTGCACACAGTCTCATCCTGGATACTATATAATCTCTCATGCCAGTATTGTCATAATTTTCATCTAACCTTTATTTCTGTTTGCCTTGTACTTCCACCATTTTTCCCTCAGAAACTGATGACAGTCAGAGACCCAAAGGCAAGAGAAGCAGTGCTTCCTTGTGGTGATAAAACCTCACTGAGTCCCTGTAAGCGGCAGCGACTGGATGAAGGATATGAAACAGAATCCTCCGACTCAGTGGAAGAGATGCTGAGGGACATCAGCACACGCTGCAACGCTGTCCTGCACGGCACTGCTCCTGGAACGGGAGTCCGGCAGGAATCAGAGACTATACGCATGTTTGGGACATTCTCAGGCCTACAGACGAATGTTTCTAAAGTCAGCAGCATGAGGACTGACGGAACAGAGGCTGAAGAGAGCGTCTCATCTTTCAGAACTTCCATCAGAGAACACTGCACCATAAGGACTCGGGTGTTTCCACATGGACGCGCCTTCACCTCGAGGACTCAGGAAGGTGGATACCGCTTTCGCTGGGTTCCCAACCACAGCTGAAACCAGAAAACCGGATCCATTATGCTTCTAATTAGTGATTTGAAGGTCTATTCGAAACTGGGGAGGGAAGTGTGGGTGGGCAACGACTGTTAATGCTTAACTAATAATCTGTAGTGATATCTGTAAATGATTAAATTATGTCTTCCTCAGGTAGCTTCTAAGATAATCAGTCAGAGGTGGTGCTTAACAAAGGAAATAATACTGCCAGAGCTGTTGTTTACATTGTGTTTGTTTACATGCCTCAATGTCATGTTTAGTTTTGCACCTCACAACATGTTTTTGTCTTGTAAAATACAATTGATTTCACACATCTGAATAAAAGTTACGTTTAAGCCTATAAAGCTGACTTGGAGAGATCTTTTTTAATCATGGAATGAACATTTAGGTGATATTTAAACAAATGGAAAGAAACAGTTTTCCTTGTTTGAGCAGTGAAACAAATGTGACCCCATGACCCCCTTTAAGAAACAGTGACTTCCTTCCCATTTGTCTTTGTCTGGGTGACTGTGTGGTCTGGAGTAAGGGCCCTGAGTCATGATGTATCGCAGCCAACATCCTTGTTTATATCCTTCTTTTTGGAAATTGAAATCGATTTTTTTTTTCCAGACTGCATGACTTGTTATTTGGTAGTACTTAAGCTGTATAAACTTCCCCAGTGAAAAAAGATTAGCCTATGTGTGCTAATGCTGCAACATCTTTCCTAAAGAATTGTATTTTTTAAACTTCATCAAAATAAGAAGAGATGAACTTATCTTAAGAGGATGTGACCTTCTGACCTTTGTATCTGTGATGCGATCTTCCTTCAGCCTCACTCTTGAGGGCTTTAGCTGTAAAAAGCGAGTTAGTGTGAGGCAGAGTGGTCCAGAGGACAATGTTGAACCTCAGTTCAGACACCTGTTTAAACTCCCCAGACCTGAGTCTGTTTACTTTAGAGCAGTGAAGGCAGCGCTGCAGCCCCTCACACGGGGGACAATTTACAGTACTACTGCTGCTGCTGCTGTGGTGAACACTGCATCTAACAACACAAACTAAGATAAGAGGAACCTGATAGTGAGCTGGGAGTGTGCCTAACATTTCATTGTAAGATCATGGAAGGGTACATCACAGAGGGAAGTTAGGATTTTTTGTTAAGTAATAAAATTTGGATAATGCATTTAAGACTCCACAGACAACCCAACAGCTGGGTACATGTTATGTTCATCGACGTAAAGACGTTTATCTTTACAACAATAGTGATTATATAGTCTACATATAATATATATATATAGGCTATAATTCATACTAAAATATTTACACTCTTCATGTGCCTGTACAAGGGAAATGATCTGGTGATACTTTATAGCAGTACTGTCTGAACAAGAATCCACAAACCTATTAACATCTATCTATCTATCTATCTATCTATCTATCTATCTATCTATCTATCTATCTATGGTTAATATTTATGGTTGGGAAGTCAATCAAACTAAGACAAAGAGTCACAAAATAAGTAAAAGTATATGCAAAACAACAACAGACGCTAAATGAATAGGCCTACAAATGCAGAACGACTAAAGAGATGTAAAACGACCATAAACAGACAGTGTGTAGCTTACATGCAGGTACCATATCTGACAAACCCTGACCCCACTGGTTGTCACCGTTAACAATTTAAATTCCTGCTGCCATCGTAAAGCAAACAGGACGCCTAATGTCAAACCTCAGGCCCTCGTATAACCGCACGAACCTTCACGTCAGCTTAGCTCGACAGCCAGCCGCGCCTTGAGCCGCTGTTACTGCAAACAAATCCGTTTGTCGTTGACCAGCAGCGCTGCTGAGAGCGGGCACAGGGGGCGAAGCTTTGTTTAAGCCTGGCTCTGACACATTTGACCGGTTAAGCTACCGCCAAACTGCGGGGGGACAGTGCGGGAGGGGGAAAGGAAAATACAGACACAATGAGTCTCTAAGGTGACTAAAGCCCAAACCTGGGTGGAGGCTACAAACCAGACAGAGTCCCGCGGGAAACAGGGCGGAGAAAAAAAAATAATTTAGACCTATTTTTTTTTTTCCTGCGGAGGGATGCTGAGGATGGTGGGCAGAATTAGAGAGGTGCGAGGCCTCCACAACAAAGTTAGGGTTTTCATATCAGCCTTTTCCTCATGTAGGCACAGGCTCACATTTTGCAGCACTTTATAATCTTCTGAGGTAATAAAATGAAGGAAACAAGAGACATGGGTACAGAACCCACATAGTTGCATTAGTGAATCATTAACATTTATTCGAGATCTATTAATATTTGTAAACAAAAATGTGGTTTAATAATAGGCTTAGTTGTTTAATGCCAGTTGGAGAAGCCCTCTAAAGATGGATTAATAGCAAATTATAATTTAGTATCACAATTTAAATATATATGGCCTTTCAAGGGTCATAAGTGACATGCAACTGTCAGACGTACAGCCTATAGATTTTGGTTGATAATGGAAAAATTGAGGAGTAGGCTACATGGCTCTTTTCTATTATTATAGGGCTATAGCCCTGGGTACATGGCCGCCTGCTGGTGCACACTGATGGAGCTGCTCCCTTCCGTGTCATTGAGAGCACGCACCTGTCGCACTGAGTCAGGCTCGAGCTCGCGGTGTGAGCGCATATGGAAGTGGCAGGTGGCGAGAACGTGCGCCCGCTCGCGCCGTTCAGCCCACTTAGCGCCACAGCAGCTCGTCATTAAACCGGTGCGGCCCGCGGGTACACGGCGGCCTGTCAGACAAGAGCTGTGGCAGGGGTTATAAGATTGATCCAAAATATTTATTAAATCAAATATATTTTATCTAATGGTGTTGGCTTTTGTTATTTGTTATTATAAAAATGTCCTGAAGTTTTTGGAATTATTCTATTTCATTTTATTTATCGTAAATTAATTTTGTTTTCACTTAGGTTTTACTGAAATAAACTAAGCTGTAAAATAAAATATTTTGTTGAAACGCGTTTATTTTGTTTTAGTTTGCTTAATAAAAATGTTTCTAAAACATAAACATTATCATTATCATAATGTTGTTATTGTTGTCTATTTTTCTGCCTATTGTTATTAATGAAGTACAAATTTCCTTATGGTAGCATTTAGATTTTCCTTCTTATTTTCTTTTAAACGTTTTAATTCCTTGCTTTGTTTGAAAGGTGCTACATACAGTTTTCTAATATTTATACCAGCGAATCACGATCATTGATGTTTCAGAGTAATTGTCTTCAGCCAAATGACAAAGGCTATAATATACAGGATGAGTCTGACATAACAAACTGTCCTTGTAGGGGTTATTAACTGATAACGCTGCCGCCTTCACCTTTAAAACATTAGCGCGTTGCTCTTTTCTTATTGTGTCTATTTGTTTCCAGGAGAAACCAGGAGGCGGAGGGAATCCCTGAATAAGAGTAAAAAAAAAAACTCTACATCTAACCGCCAATAGCAGATTAGAGGACGTCGCTTCCCGCTCTGCAGTCCGCCCGGGGAGAGTATTTAGGAGCGGAGCCCGTGCAGGAGAGGAGACAACAGGTGCACCGGGCACGACCAGGTCAGCCTCCTCACACAGGCTCAGGGGGAAGGAAACGAGACTCATGGGAACAGAAGATGCGACTGAAACTCACAACTGGAGGTCCAAATGAATGGGTGAGCTTTTCGTTTAACATAAAAAGCTATAGACCTATAGTCTAATATGGAGATATAGTATTTCCCTGCTTTCACTTATGGTCTGTTGCTGTTGCTACCAGGCAACCACCTCAAACTCCAAACACATGACTGCTCCTCCTTACTTCCAACATGCGTTTAACCAAAGTATACAGCAAAATATATTAACAATCCTCAACTAGCTGAATAATTATTTGAAAGTAGTAACTCCACTTTTGTTTAAGCTGTAATTTAGCACGTGAGACAGTTGTTCCTGATGATGATGATGATGATGATGATGATGATGATGATGATAATGTTGAGCATCACCTCGACTGAATCTTTTGTTTGTTTTCACGACCAGGACAATATGAGGGAGATGTTCAGAGATTTTGTAGGAAAGAGGAGGCAGAGCCCCTTTAAGGTAAGAAGGGAAATAGTTATATGTCTAATTATGCTGACTGCCCCCCACCCCCAAAAGCTCCAGAGCTGGTGGCGACAGTGTGGCAGTGTACCGCTGCTGGCTGTGGCACTATCTGACTGACAGCTGCCAGCTGCACTCCTCACTGCTGCTACCAACGGACCTCAAAGAGTCGCCACACATTCCTCTTCATTCACCTGTAAAACAAGAAGTCAACAGAGGAATAAAGCTGGCAGCAGATGAATGAGAAAACTTTTTTTTTTGTACATTTAACACAGCTCAACATCAGCGCCTCATAGTCAAATCCATGCATTTGCATATACAGTACAGGCCTGTGAGTTGTGACTGGCTGGGAGGCAGTGTAATGTTAGCTGACGTGTCTTTTGCCAGCTCACACTGCTCTGCTACCTTAACAGTTACATTTGACTGCATGCATGCGTTTATTACTCATTCCCTGCACGCTCAGGCTCAAAGAGATGCCAGCATCCTGATTCCCAAATGACATCATACCTGGAGATGTTTAGAGACAGCGGAGAACGAGGTTTATCTTGAGGTGGGGGATTAATGTCAATGTTTGAGCTTCTGGTTTCACAAAGACTAAACTTAAACAGAACAATTTAGACGGAAAATATCACCCAAAATTAAAAAAAAAAAAAAAGATGTTATTGTTTTTCAGCTCTCTTACTGTGGGTGTCTGGTAGGCAGTGTCTTGTTAGCTGGTTGATTGTGTGTGTGCCAGCTTACCTGCTGCTGCCCTCCAGCTGCCCATTTAAATCCACACCAGCAACACGGGGGGACTTCTGAGACTGAGAGTTCCTGTTGACGTTTTTTTTTTTTTTTTTTTTTCAACCAGTCATCAACGAAATAACTTTTAAAATGTCAGACAGAAAAATCAACTGTAATATTTAGGAAATCAGCACCAATATCTATTAGTATCAACGTTCTGGATACTAATGTGGATTCATTTATCCGTTAATTAAGTAGCTATAAGCTTTTTTTCTTGCTTTTAAAACATCAAAAATCCTGGGCTCATTATCTAAATCAAATCATTTTATTTCTGGATGGATGGATGTTTCAAAATTTGCTGGGCTCCAATCAGTCAACATGGCCTAAAATCTTGTGCTTCACCTCAAGAAATGGATTTTAATGTAAACAATGCAGAGTACAGACAAAGTACAGACTACGCCAAACTGAACGTGTGAAAATCCAACACTTCAAACAATCCTTCGGCCGCAGCAGTGGTCATTATAAGGAATGTTCATCATCATTGTCATTATTAACCACAGGATGGTCCCAATTACACACACACAAACAGACAAATACAAACACATCTTGTCTGGAGCGAGACGTCGCCCAACCACAGTTCACAGTCCACCACTGGTCACCGATCACTGGTTATTCCCGGCTGTCGGGCAGCACAGACATAACACAGCGGCATGTCCGGTATCTGTCAATAAGCTCCATCATAGCTCCACCCGTTTCTTGAGGATGATTTCTCGCACCAGCGCCGTGGCCTCTTGACGAACGCTTTCCATGGGCTCGTCGGCTCGCCAGAACCGGATCACCTTCCCGTCTGGATCCACCAGAAACTTCCAGAAGTTCCACTTTGGGATTTTCTTCACAGAATCTGGAAAATAACACATTCGCTTTTACAGTAATCTATGGTGCATCTTACAGCCTGAATTTAGTCATTCACTCTGATGCTGCTCTGATTGTTTCCACCAGTCATCAATCATAAATCAACTTGTAAATACTATATTTACAGTGGGGTCCAAAAATCTGAGACCACTTTCTAATTAATCTGAATGGGAAAGTGGTCTCGGACGTACTGCTAATCACATCGATGCCAAAGTCAAAGATCCCTCAGTATAGCTGACTGTTAGTTTAGCAGAGCTTTAAGGTGTTAAACTGAGATGTACTTAAGAAATGCTAACCGATACATTTGTGTGCAGCAACTACACACAAAATCATGAGTCAGCAAAGTCCATTCAGTGTGTATGAAGAAGTACCAGATTTTACACTCCAGTAACCTCAGGAGCTCACAGCTCTCCATCTGTGCTTTGGGACGGATGTCCATAAATATTTATTTAACAATTTTGGAACAAATGAGCAAAGTGAAATCTTACAGTGGTAAACATGTGTTTCTTTTTCTTCTCTGAGAAAATGTAATTGTGTATTTTGGCAGGAAGGAAGGAAGGCAGGTGTTAATAAAAGAAATAAGAAATAGTAAAATATCAAACATTTGCTGGTTACAGCTTCCCAAATGCAAAGACCTTTTCATTATAAACTGAATACTACTGCCTCCAGGTCTGAACTTAAAGTATTTGTTTATAATCTGACATATTACTCGATCATAAAAATAACATTTAGTTACAAGATCTGGGAAAGTCTGGTGCAGTGAAAGTTAGGTTCAGGCTGCACTTCCTAAGTGTGGCCATGAATACAGGAGTCATCATTTTATCCTTAAGGAACTGGAAAAATCTAGATTTTAAACATAGTGGTGGTGAACTTTCCTTTCAAATATATTTGTGCAGGCATGTTATTTAGTGTGCAACACACAGATGTTGGATGTCTTTCTGCCAACCTGTGAGGAACTTGAAGGCCGGGTCCGCCTCTGAGCCCATTATTTTGATCCTGCTGAAGAAGGGGAAAGTAACACCGTAGGTGGACTTTGCGAAAGCCTCGATGTCCCGGCTGGTCCCGGTCTCGGTGTCCCCAAACTGGCCGCAGGGGAAGGCCAGGACGTTAAAGTGAGAGGTGCCCAGCTCCCTGTGGAGCTCCTGCAGAGACTTGTAGTTCGCCTCTGTCTGCTCGCTGTGACTCGCCACGTTTACAACCAAAGACGCCTGCACAGGAGGGAAAACAGGGTGTAAGTGTTTTTAAAATGCGTTTAAGAGACACGCATTATCCAACAAAACCCGAACTACACACACAGTGGATAACTTGGACAAAGTCTGCTCAGATTTCTTCTCAAAGTGAAAGGACTGGTGATGATGTGGACTTACTTTTCCTCGGTACTTCTCCAAGGAGACCGACCTCCCCTTCGCGTCTTTGACCTCGAAAGAATAAAAATCCTCGGGTTTCCTCGGCTTCACCAGCTGGGTCTGCAGGAGGAATAAACACCCCACACCGACTGTCATGCTCAACAGCACCGTTAACTTTTTAGCTTTCGGGTTGGAGGACTTGGCAGGGTAGCCCCCTAAGGCCTCCATCTTGGAGGGGGAAGAACAAGCCGTGATCGGTGACGGGATGGTGGGGGGGCTCCTGCCAAAAGTCTCGGGGCGGACCGGAGGAGGGAGCTGCGTTAAACCTGCTGAAGAAAACCGGGACAGAACCGGAAGCTGAGCGCTGATTCTTTCAAAAGTAAAACCAGTATTGAAACGCGTGCACAACAATTCAAGTCATATTAAATCATATAAGTCATATATGAAAGCCTTTTACCATTTCTTTGCCGAAATTCGTTTTTTTTTTCAAATTAAATTTTGTTTATAAAAGAAAACAGGATTATCACTGTGACAACTGAGTGAAGTGAGGTGAGAAAGCACCAGGTCTCTGTACCATCACCATGAAAACAAACTCAAGTTGTTCTGCAAAATTAAAATAACTTAAAAAAACACAATTGGACTTCCTTCCTGCTGCTTGTCTGGTCAAAAATTGATGTCAAGTTAAATTTTTGTACAATATTTAAGGGGTCTTTCGCATTATGATATTCATGATAAAAAAACACTAGTAATGAATTGCTCAACACTCTAACAACTGCTGAAGGAACACAAAAGACCTAATGACCTTTTCAGCAATATTTTAGTTACTACAGCAACACGTTTTGTTTTGAAAATGTAACTATCCACATAGTAAGTTATCAGCAATAATCTAATGACTTTTGCTAATTGAGAAAATGCATTCAAATTAACTTCAGAAAAATAAATTACTGTGTGGATTTGTTTGATACAGCACTGAACTATAAAGCTGTAACAATAAGTTGATTAATTGATTAGTCAATCAACCAGAATTTAACTGGTAACAGTTCTGATCATTTAATAATCATTTAGCTGTATTTAAGCAAAAATTGTGAAAAAGTGAAGATTATGTTGGACTGAAATAACAAAAGGACCCCCCCCCCTACTTAAAGACATATTGTGGACAAAATGACTCATTAATTGAGAAAACAATCAGGAGATTAATCAATAATGCAAATAATCATTGGTTGCAGCCCAATTACAGTACACCATGATATATTTAGACATTGACTGGTATTTTAAAGAGGGAAAATTAAGTCAGAGCTTAATGTTAGTGCTTTTGTTTTGAAATTTTTAATCGGAAGTTTTGCTCTTTGTGTGGCTTACTTGACTCCAGTGAAGTTTTGTGGTTTTACGTTTGCAGCAGTATGAAGTTCGTGTCGGTTTTGTTTTGTGATCGAGACTATTGAGACGATTTTTTTTTTTTTTTAATTAATTAATTAATTAATTATTTCCTCGTCTTCTCAGGGCCAAAACGACGCTCATCACGTGTTATACAAGCGCTTCAGGAGGCGGATCACCCGGAGGAGCAGCAGAGAGGCCCCTGCTGTGAGTACACCTCTGGCCACCGGGCGGCACTGTGAGCTAAGCTTTGAGTTTGACGCAGTCTGTCAGAGACTGGAGCTGGACTCTCCACCGAGACACCGAGGACCGGCCCAGAGAGTCCTGCATGGAAACCTTCATGGTATGACTTTAACAACAGACACACCGTAGAGGAATGTAGAAGATCTGTCTGTCTCTGATACTGATCTCTCTCTCTGTCGCTCCCTCTCCCTGTCTCTCACTCTCTCTGTCTGTCACTCTCTGTCTCTCACTCTCACTTTTCTATTTTTGAGGAGGAGAGATTTGCATTCAGACATACAGTCCTCAGAAATATTTAGCCAACTTTAATTCAAGTGGCATAAAGAAATACATTCCTTACGTTCCTCCCACTGCGCATGCAAGAGGCCTTGATAAAAGCTCAACACACAAAATATGCTTTAACTTCAGTTTATAATTTTTGTTGAATATGAAAAAAATGCAGTAATGCTTCAAAAGTTTTAGGTAATTTATGTGTAAGTGCAATGTGTGCCCTGCAACTTGCTTCAGACGTTACATTCAACTGCACTTCACACCACCATGGACAACACCTAGCTCTCAGTGTTGCATATCACAGCTGAGTGCTGCAGAGTAACACTTTGTGGTTCAACCGGTAGCTGCCCCCAATCTGAGTACTGACTGTAAACTGAAATCTACACCTATTTTTATTTGAATAATGAACATAGAGGTAGTTTAATCCCCTTTAATGATATCAGCAATGTCCCTATTCTTTGTTTTGTTGTTGGAATACAAAGGATTATTGTACGTGCTCCAGTACCAAAGACCTGTAGGTAACCTGTCCCTGCAGGGCCATGGCCACAAACCCTCACGCTCCATTCTTTGCTCTCCTTACTGTGAAGTCCACAGGCCTCACCACAGGGACACAGTAGATTTATTCCATACCTGTTTTATGATGGATGTCAATGTCACTTTTTCTGTGATATTATCTGTCCTAATCTGAGACAGCGTTGGAGAGAGGCGTGTCCCACTGTGGGGCTGTCACATCATCGAACACGCCACACACCATCTCTGCAATGAGGCATCCTACCACACAAAATTTCTCAGAACAGGTTTGTTCCAGGAACTTGTACTTGTGCCACAATCTTTTTTTAACCTTTATTTTTTCAGGATAGTTTCGCTGAGCCACAGTATGACCTGCTGGCCACTGAGCCCTGCTCATTCACTTTTCCCACCCAGATTCAATCCTGTTGACCTTTCAGTCAAAAGCTTGCTCCTCTAACCTTCACGCCAAACTGTGTCACAGGACAGAAAATGAGAAACACGATAAAGGACCTGGTTTCTTAAAGTTCTTTGGAGATTTAAAGTTAGAAATGGCTGAGTTATAAAAATCTGTCGTTAAGTGAAATAAGAAAAGCAAGATCACTAAAAGTTAACAACATAACCCGGCTTTACCCACATAAAGCTAAAACAGGTGTAACATCAGTAATTACTAAAGGAGTATAGTGTCATTATGCTGCAAAATACATAAATACGTAAATATGGTCTATCGCTGTCATAAAAACTGTGCACAATCATTGCTAATGCTAACTCTGGTGAAATCCTATTATTAGACGTTTGAAAAAATAATACAAAGATTGAGCAAAACACTAAATCAAATAACAATAATCAAATTCTTTTGCAGGGATGGATGTGGACAGCTGCAGTTCAAGAGCATGACAGTGCACAACAGACTGGTACAAGCATGAATATTTTTCCTTTTAGTGTCTCAAGACACACACGCACACACGCACGCACAAGAGCGCGCGCACACACACACACACACAATACTGCATGTCATACCAGGAAATGAGAACAAATGGCTCATTTACCTATTTTTAAGCAACACAAACAGGAGTGGGGAGGTTCTACTGTATGCTTATGATTGCTGATATGATTGTATTGTTATCTGGAGTGTGATAATCAGACATTAATCTTGTACAGAAATCATAGTTTAAGTCTGTAATTAAGTCATCAATGGACAGACTTTCCATTTTTACTTTAAAGTGTGTGTGTGTGTGTGTCTCTTAGCCGCAGTGTAGCAGAGAGAGTAAATATGGTCAATAACCATTAATTCAATGTAACAAATGTTTAATATATAATTTTTAATGTGGGTGTTCGCTGCGATTCTGTAGTAATGTTTGTTTTATTTAAACTTCAGATGAGTGAGAGAAGTGACACCATCAACAGTAAACCAGAGACGTATTTCTGATGTGAAACTTTGCGTACCTGTTTTGTGTAGCTGTGTGCGTTTGTGTTCATAATATTTTTACACTGCAGGTTCTGATGCGAGAAGACATGATTTGCAGCCGTTTGCTGTTCTGGACAAAGCTGCTGTGAGTCTGCAGGGAAAGTCAGTGATGAGGTTGGCAGCACCATCACTGCAGAACGACTACTGTAAGAGAAGATGCAAATCCTGCTTCATACTTACAAATACATGAGGAAAAACAACTCTACAATAAATCCCTGGTCAACAAATCCCATGTAAAGAACAGTGTGTTAGTCAGTCTCTCTGTACTTCCTATGCTTTCTGTGCCACTCAGCACCAAGCTCATTTCTTCCTACTCAACATGTTAATATTGAAAAATGGGTCACAAATATAGTTTCATTTCTAAAAGAGGCTAAATCATTTCCTGCATTATTCCTTATAATCAGCCTTATGGCGGTTTGGAGACGGCTTTAGAGCTTCATGTAGGAAAATCACATACACACTGAGTATAACCAAGAAAAATATGAAAAGTTACATTAGTTTTTTTAAAAATTAAGAGACCTTTTTGCTTTCTGATTTAAAAAAATATGTGAGCGTGTTGAGGCTTGTGTTTGGGGGACTTGGGTATTTCTATATAATCTGGCCTTGTATTTTTTGCCAGTGAGCTCTTAAGAACCAGTTACAAGCTCCTCCTATCTGCCTGACCTTCATAAGGTCACACAACCCCACTGCTTCAAAAAAAAATCCACTAAAAACACCCCATACTGTAGTTTTGTTTTGATGAATGAACGCATCGTGGCACAGCAAGCTGACAGCAAATATATCTCCTGATTGGAGGAAACACATCAGGAGTTTTAACAAAGAAATAAAATACTGTCAATTAAGGCTGAGTCTGTTTGTGAGTATTTGAACACAGTCACACTTCTGTGGTCCTTCTCTCTTCCCTTTCAGACACTAACGTCCTCGACTGCAGTTGTAAAGGTATGATTGCATTAGCACTGGGCTCTTCTGTTTACCTCTGGAATTTAGAGACCCGTGCTCTGGTGGGATATTTGGACCCGAGTCCACAAACAGGACGAGCACGCCGCCATCAGTCAGTCTCGTCTCTGTGCTGGAGCAGGGATGGCAGAGCCCTCTGCATCGGGACCAGGCGAGGGGAGATACAGGTAAGTGCTTTGGAGCTTCAAGTAAATGAGAACACAGATGGTGGGAAGTGATTCACACAGGCTGTGGTGAAGGGGCGGCCTCTGTTGGGGGAAGTGCAACAGCGAGCGGAATCGGCAGGATGACGGTTTGTGGTGCCTTGTCTCTCTGACTTGTCTCTCTGACTCTTTAGTTGTGGGATGTTGAAAAGAAGCAGAATATGAGGTGTTTACCATCACACCTGTCTGTGGTCGGAGCCCTTTCCTGGAAACATCAGTTACTCAGCAGGTAGTTGGTGTGTGTGTTGTCAGTATACTACATATATACTACATATTACACAGAAAAGGACTAATTTAAACAATCCACAGTATCATTTTTAACTTCATAAACTTCACTTAAGCAGGAATGACACAAAACCTTCTGTCGTTTTAGGCTGAATCGAAACGAAAAGTTTAATCCTCAGCTAAAATAAATGATGGTAAATTAGCCCTAAGTATGAAAGGTTACTATCAGTATAATGTTTCTATTAAATTCAGTATTTATGCTGGAAAATAACAGTGTCCCCAATCTAACAGCGGCTCTGTTCTCGGACGTATCCATCACCTTGACCCTCGGACTCCTGCACCTCTAGTGGGTGCAGCTGTCCAGAAGGAGGGGATCTGCAGCCTTCAGTGGTCGCCAGGAGATGACTGGCTGGCCAGCGGCTCCACGGACGGCCTCCTCCATATATGGGATGGTGACGTCGCAGGGCTCGCAAGGTCAAAACAACCAGTGACTACAATGACACAACCCAGTGCCGTTAAGGTCAGTGCACTTGAAGCTTGTGTAAACTTAAGCAGCGTGATACCGGTTGGTGAAATACTGTCGGTTGATCCTGCAAGTATAAGCCGGGCGGTCTGTTTAAACCAGCAGACAATCTGCTGACCATTGCTGCGCCTGCTTGTGCGTTCATTGTGTTTGCGTGTTAAGGCGATGGGATGGTGTCCGTGGCAGAGAAAGACGATCGCTACAGGAGGTGGATGGAAAGACGGAGAAGTGAGAATCTGGGACACACAATCGGGGACTTGCGTGACTTCTGCCAGCACAAACTCACAGGTGCTCAAATTATAGCCAAGGTTTTTTTTTATTTATTATGTGTATACACATCGGATAGACGACTCCTGATGACTCCAATTGCAGATCTGTTCCCTACGATGGGCTGAAAAGAAGAGATATCTGGTCACAGGTCACGGCCTTCCTCATCACCAAATCATCTGCTGGACCTCAGAGTTTCCCTCCCTCACACCAGTCTACCAGCTCACAGGTTGGAGAGCCGGAAATACCATTCATGATTTAACAACTTCTCATCACCCTCATAGGAATAAATGTATTGCATCACTATGCATGCTGAGTAATATTGGGTGTGACAGTTGACCCATTGCTGCGATCTGTCATCTGTCCCTGAGATATGATATTCAATGGCCGCTTTGTGCCGACTCATTCACGTCCTGGGCTTCCAGTCATTGTGAAACTATGAATGAAACATGTCAAAAATGACATGTGATATGAGATGTCACAGTTTCCTGATGTATTGTGAATTAAGACCCAAAAAGCTAGCTGTCAGAGACATTCCTCAAAACACTCATGATGTAACCGTGTTATACATTATACACAAATTGCATTAATTGTGTTCGGTAATAGTGGTGCAAATAAACATGAAGACACCGTTTGTTTTATATGGGAAACAAGGTCTTTAAAGGTTAAAAGTTCAATCATGCTGCTGTTGTTTTATTCAGGTCATTCTCGTCGAGTCCTGCACGTGGCCTTGAACCCTGACAGCACTCAGATTTTCTCTGCTGGAGTGGACCAGTGCTTTCACATCTGGGACCTCTGATTATCAGCGTCAGCAACATAGACGGTGAATGTTGTGGTCAGACCTGTATTGAACGTTGTTATTTGGTCCGACTTGTATTGCAAGTTGGTGTCCGCTCACTTTTCTTGGTAATGCCGCTGTATCACTGTGTGCTCCTGCACATTTCCTGCTCTGAGCTAACCACATTACCAAGCCAGTTTACCACCAAATCAACTCTTCGATCACACTAACATAGTTCACACACCACAATGTAAAGGTTTCTGTGGCTCCCTTAGGGGGAATGATTTTATTTTTACTTTAGTTTCCAGTGCTGAGAGAGTCGAACAAAAATTCACAACAGTATATAAATGGTAAATGGACTGCATTTATAAAGTGCTTTTCTAGTGTAACCCATGTCCCATGTAGCTATGTTATATTTATCTATTGAGTGTATAGTACAATGGGACAGGGTCATTGTTGAACTGTTATGTGTAACATTACCCTTTAGTTTATCTCTTTCGATTGTTACCACAATTTTGATTTCAAAACTTCCTCAACAAAATTAATAAGGACACCACACAACTGTACTTTAAATGCAATAATCCTTTTACAGGTATTTATTTACATAATGAGATAAAATAAAATTTGGTACTCTCTTTGTGAAATAAAATATAAACAATACTCAATATGTTATAAATTCCCTTTTCCTTTTGGTTTCAAAATTCTCTTCTATATCTGTATGTTCAGTAAAAAATTCCCTTTTGTTCCTTTAAATTCAACAAAAATGCCTTTTTGGGCTTCTAAGTTACACCAAAACGCCTTTTAACTTTCTTTCAAGTAGAATAAGGACCTTAAAACACAGTTTCAATCACATACAAAAAATCAAAATCACTCAATGTATACCTGTGGGGCCACACACCCATTCACCTCTTAATCATCAGATTTAACCCTGGTGCAGGCCTGATTTGAAACTGGGGTGTGGTGAGGCCTAAAAACTTTAATGGCCGCTTCTCTCTGACATGAGCAGAAACAAAAAGCACGTGCATACAAGTTCAGTTAGTTCAGTTAGTACTCACGAATCCCAAACGAGTTGTTAGTGGGGATAGCAGTCACAGGGGCAATGGCAGTCACAGCTGAGCAGTTAGTACACCGCATCGAAGAATCCGGAAGACCGGGAAACCCGCTCCGGCCTCTCTCTCTCTCCACATCTCCTTTAAGCATATTAACTCAGTTGAGCCACAAAACCAAACGCTATTTCATGGCGAATTAACGTGAAGTCCGTTTTAACTGGGAAGCATTACAATGCTACAGTATCAATATGATATCAAGGCACATTTACATGGTATGCTAAGCTAACCAGCAGGTCGCTAACTAGCATCACACATCATGTCTTATCACTACAACGGTTAGTTACAGCACAACAAGAAGGCACACACTTATTTACCTTTTTTCGGATTATGCTGCTGTTGTTTTATCAGGACCACGAGTAGTCGACCTTGCAGATAAAACTTGAAATACTCTCAGCAACACGCTGCTCGTCTCTCCTTTCTCCGGACAACAGTACGTCTGTCTTTCTTCTAGCGAAAACCCAACACTACCCTGACCTGCGCCACTTGTCCCGCCCCAATGACAATACAGATTGACATACATTAAATTGGTAACAGGTTAGGTTGCACGGCTGATTACACAGATTTTAGACCAAACAAACTCCTTTTCTCCTGAATAACGATTTTTTAAAGTAACATAAATCTTTTTACAAATATTTATTTAACTTTTTAAACTATAAATAGCACAACTTTTTAAACTGTACATATGATATTTATGCATTTTTCCAGTACATATTTTAACCAGTTTTAGTATTATGAACTTTTGGGTTTTTATACAACTATTTTTTTTGCTGTGTTACTGATTCTATGCACTGTAGTCTGAATGATTTTAGACAGGGCTACACTAGTCTTAACGACCTCTCAAAGCACTTTATACTTCCAGTCACATTCACCCATTCACACACACATTCATATAGAACTTTTCCCTTCACACATATATAGCTTTTCTACCATACACACACACACACACACACACACACACACACACACACACACACACACACACATTCACAATTTGGCATTTTGGGGTCCATAATCTTTCCCAAGGACACTTTGACATGTGCACCGGAGGAGCCAGGGATCAAACCACCGTCCTTCTGATTAGTGGACGACCCGCCTCCTTCCTCCTGAGCCACAGCTGCCACAATCATCCATGAAACCATCCATAATGTAAGAATCAAAGCAGACAGGAAGTCAAGTCTATAAAAATGTGTTTTCAAGCATGAATTAAAAGCGGAGGTTGATTGCTTTGTGACTCCCACTTTATCAGTCTTATGTGAACGTACTTGTTCACTTGTTGATGATGTGTGTCATCCCCCACGGCGAGCCAGATGTGTCCGAACTGCCACCACGTTGAACTGAGCACATTTGTTACGGTTAGTATCTAGAAGACAGTTCTCCTAGCAAAGACCTGTTTGTTGAGAGATGCTGCACTTGCAAGTACATGATTAGGCCTGTGAGAACACTTTGTTCCTGTGGTGAAAACTTCCTTTGAAAAAAAAGAAAAGAAAAGCAAGACCCCCATCTAACCTGATATGTCTTATGGCTTTATATGTTCACAGACACTAAAGTGTAGAGAGTGGGTGCAACGTGAGGTTTACACTTTGTCACCTCATCTGTTTCTCAGACAACACCACCACACTTCTCACCAAGATACAGATGGTTAAATGCAGCGGCCACAATATAAGAAATGCAACTTTACAGAAAACAAATCATATAATCATATCATATTATTAAGTAACTAGAATGTTTTAACAGTTAAGCAGTGACTGTTTTTACAGCGCAGTTGTGAATCTGGATTCTCTTACTTGCAAGTGCAAAAACAAATAAGTAAAATCAAAATCCAATAAATCCAAACTGAATGCACATGAGCAATTCACATATGAGCAAAAGTGAAACAATGACAGAAAGTCATCCAAGTGCTAAACACGCTTTGAGAGGCCTGCAGCAGCTGCCGAGTGTGTATCTCTGTGTGTCTGCTGCGGCCCTAAATCTGGAACACAAACTCCTGAACAGCTTCTGACTTTATGATCATCTAAACATGCAGTTCATAAACCTTTAAACCAACAGCACAGAGAGAGAGAGAGAGAGTCATTCACCATCCGTGCCAGATCCTGAGAAACACTTGGCATCAGCTCATGGATAACTTGGCTAAACAAGTCTCCTGACTGCTGCTGAGATATCACTTACATGGTTTGTTTGCAATGAGGTCGCTTTAAAGGTGATATACCTGTGATGAGAGGGTGCACAACTCATAACTGATAAGATGCTTGTTCTTCCTGTAAACACTTCTTTTTCACACCAAACCAGTTTTTAAGTGTCATTTTGGTTTACACGGTGTAAGATCACCCCAAACTTAAGTGTCCTTTTTCCTCTTCTTGCACCTCTAGAAGCTGCAGATTGTTGTGCTAATCATCAGTTTGGAAATTCAAAGTTACAGAGTGCAGTCATACATAGTCTAAAAATAGGCTGCGGGGTGGAGCTACATAACAGTATTTTGGCACCTCCTATAAAAGCTCAGCACCTCTCACCTGGTGTTGAGTTACAGTTGCCTTGTTCAGCAGGTTCACACGCTTTGTTTCACACAGTCTGTTGTTTCTGTTCACCACTTTAATCAGGAAGTAAGATAGAATTATTTTCCTGAAGTTGAATTAGAGAAATGTTTAAATGGAATAAAATGAGCAGGAATTTGAGTATTTCAAGAATTAAGCGAGTGGACACATTTTCTACATGTTTTCTCTTTGAGATCACTTCAGGAAACAGGTGAGCATGCAACATGGGCACTCCCACTTCCTCCACCTCCTTGCATCACCCCACAGTGATATAAACTTCCCAAGCAGAGGGAGTCTGAGGCAGGCGAGAGAGGAAGAGTGGATGGGTTGGACATAACAGAGAATATGCAGTATTCAGTATATCAGTAAGATTTGGAGAAATGCTGCCAGATGGAAAAGCAATGAAAAAAATAAATCACACCTTCCAGGAAAAAACACATGATTCTTCTTTATGTTTGCCTGTGAGACGCCGATTCTACAGCGACTGGTTGTTCTGGGTAACTCTTTCCAAACAATCTTTATCTTTGCATGTTACGAGATTATTGTAATATGGTATTATGTTTCATAATTTAAAGAAGTCCTGTACGATGTAATACCAAGTGCAACAGTTGTTGTAATTTATATTAGTTGTGTTATTTTTGACTATATGATTTATCAGAGCAGCTCTGGACAAAAATTAACCAGCAGCAGACTGAGTGTAATCTGACAGCAACTGTATAACTACAGACAGAGGTGCACTTAAGGACAGGGGACTGTATGAGGCAACAGGCCCCTGGGCACACACATGTTAAAGGGCTCCAGTGTAAAAACGTAACAAAAGATGTTGCATCTCTTTGTTGTTGTGTTTATCTCTTTAGTAGTAATTTCTCTGTTTAGTAGTTCTGTGTCTCTTTAAGTTACAGTGTGCAGGTGAAGAACTTTAGTATTTAGTTCAGACTGCACAGACATTATACTACAGCATGCTATACAAAATATTAGTATTGTCTTAGTACTAATTTGTATCACCAAAAACAAATGTTGGACTGCATTTTGTTGGAATATACTCAACAGTTCAACAGGCCGATTCAATAATGGATGCACAGCCATGGAATCAGGTCAGAACACAGCTGTTAATAACTTATCCATTTTCCTCCCCTGACTCAGTGGTGTGCCATGGCTTTGCAGTGGGTCAGACCGCGTCACGTTACAACCTGATCCAGACACCCATGCCCTGGTCCAAAGCCCGGGAGTTCTGTCAGAAGCACCATGTGGACCTCGCTGTCCTAAATGCAGAAGAGCAATACTTCACTCTCCTCAATGCCACACATGCAAACCAAGCCAGCTTTTGGCTTGGTCTGCAGCGCCAGAGCATATTCAGTGGCTGGACCTGGGTGAACGGAGAGGTGTTGAGCTATGAATACTGGTACAGGAGAAATTATGAAGGCCTGTGTGCAAGTCTGGAGGCCATGTTGAAGAAAGAGAAGAAGCTGCTGGCTCGCTACTGTGATGAGCCACACATGTTCGTCTGTCAGGGTGATTAATACTTCATTGTTATTATTTACAAGTTAGAAACATCATGCATATGCACCCATACAACAATTCCCCGTATTTAGGGCTTTAATTTTGGCAGACATCATGATTGCATGTGATTTTGTTGTGGTTTAACCGCTACATTAACAATAAAACTCTTTGAATATGGCACACTGAAAAAAACCCTGTCCTACCTGAGCTTCTTGATAGTGTAGCATGACACAGAGAATCTATCTGTGGTACAAGATGCTTTGTTTTTCCTGTTTAAGTGTCATCATTATTCATGGTAGAGGAGGAAGGTAGGAGCAGGAAAAGCACAGGTGTAAATGATAAAATGAAAGATGGCCGAATTCCATTTAGCCATAGCTGATGTTATTAGTAACACCTGTGTTTGTGTTTACCCCCACCTGCCTGAACCCAAACCATTCATCTTTTGTGATACTGGATCTTAAAACAGCCATAGTGTAACCCCAAGGTGAAACAGACTTCCATGTGAAATTATGAACTGACTACAGGTGTGAAACTAATCTGACTGACTCGCTCACTCTCACTCACAGGTCCAGTTTCCCCACAGCCAGTGGCGGTGGACTCTGTGAGCACTGATCAGTTGAATCTTAGCTGGAACGTATCTGCTTTTATGCAAATGACACCACACGGTTACAACGTGACGGCATGCAACAGCACCTGTGACACACTCCTTTATTCCTACACTGGTGGCTCTGCATCCATGAGCATCAACATCTCCAACTTAACTTCAGCCACTGAGTACTTCATCAAGATCGCTGCTTTTGTTGTTCGGCCCGACAGTGTCACTAGTGGAAAAATGATCTTTCAAAGTAACCCCACAGCTTTACAAGTGAAAACAGGTACGAATGTAATTTATTTTAATTCATTTTGTAATTAATTTTGTATGGACTGTTTTGTATTGCTGCGTGATTCGTATGCTATGATATATTTGATAACCAAGAAATTAAATAATCAATTAATGCTTTATAATAATTAATCAAACAAAAATATAAACCCTTTCTGACATGTGATTATAAACTGAATGCCTCTAGTTTTTAACAATAGGCATTTGTTCTTAAATGGGAGTAGGCCTCTGTTGGGATTATTTATGTGGACATCTTTTCTCCTCCACAGCAGATTCTTTTCAGCAGTCCAAAGTCATCACTGTCATTTTGAAGTCACTGAAGCTCATGTCTCTGGGTCCTCCCTTGTGGATTCTTTATTGTATCCTGAGAAAAGACAAACCTCTTTTCTTGGGTAAGAAAATGAACATACTGAAACACTTCTCATGACAAACATGCATTTCAAATATACGTCTTTCACGTGGCCTTTTTTCCTTCTCCAGATGATGATGATGATGATGATGCAGATCATGAGGTCTCATCAGTGGACTTATTAACTGTGGACACAGTTATTGAGCTGATCCCTGAGAAAACAAGAGGAATCAACTAAAGGAGGGGAAAAATTGTATTCTATACCGCCATCGAGGAATCCTTGAGACTGGGGTCTAGAGGGCAGAGAAAGGCTGTTCAACCCTTTACTAACATTGTTCACAATGGTGTGATGGGCTGATGAAAAAATATGGAATTGGACACAACTGATCGGTTTAAGGAAAACAAATTTTTGATCAGAAGGTGAAGTCACCTGGTAAGTCATGAGAACACAGACATGAAAATGCTTCATGCTTCATGCTTTAATCGTGCTGATCCTGGTGCCTGTCATCAGCTAAAGGTTTAAGTTAAGCTAAATAGTTTAATATGCAAGGAATATAAACACAAAAACAACAGATGGAACGTGGTCATAGATACACGTCTTTTGAACGTGTATCAATAAAAGTCATTTTTATTGTTTGTTCTTTGATCTCAGGTGCTTAAAGGTTCTGTAAATTTTCATCACTGCCACTAGATGTCGCACTACACCCCCCCCATAGTTCTCAGTCAGCAAGCCCAGTGGAAGCGACAACTAAACACACAACAAGAAGCACAACTAAATAAAGTTACTCTGTGTACACGAGAGTCATCAGAACAACAAACCAGCCACAACCATTAGCGCACACCAGCATTGCTGTGATATGCTCCACAGCAATGCTTGCAGTAAGCCAGCTAGCGATAGCAACATTTGCCACACACATTCATGGTATCAGTAACAACAAGTTAGCTGATGTTATCACGCCTACTGTAGCCGGTCACTAATGAGAACAGGCATGTAACACTGTGTAGGCATTGATTTACTTATGCTTCGAGGAGAAGAAAAGCCAGTTCCTAGTCAAGCTGGAGCACTTTAGCAGAGGGGGTGTGACTGAAGCCATTATTCCACCATATATTTACATAAAATATAGTTTTTTACTGTTATATTATCGTTTAAAATCTCGTTTACAGAACCTTTAAGGCACACGACTGATAACTAGACCAATGAGTATACGGCACGTGAAGTCATAGTAGGTGACTCACAATATGCAAAGTAATGACGCACTACTCCACTGAGCTGTAGATTGATAGTTACAATTTTGATTTATAGTTTAGATGTATATACTGTACACACAGTACACAGCAGTGGGGAACCCTCTGTGCCTTTCAGACCTTCAGAGAAGGCCCAACATATCAGCATATCAAATGTGTAATTTCTGCTATCCAGTATTTAATTTATTTTATTTAATAACTATTCTCTTCTAATTTTAATCTTGATTTTCTATTAAGTTTGCTTCAGAAATGAAAGGGTTATGATCTTAAAATAGAGTGAACCCAAGTTAGTCATTACTGAGATAATGTACCATGCCATAGCATAAGCTAATGTGTTAGCTTGAATGAACTACAGTGAACACACGGTTGATTGTAGTGTTCACAAAGGTTTACCTGTAAGTGTGATCTATATTATGAGGCTTTCTTTCCTTCGAGATTGAGTTAAGTCCTGGGTTAGTACTGTAAACCCAACAAAGGTAGCTAGAAATATGGTCTCTAAATGTAGTTTTATCAGAGTATTAAGACTCTGTGTGAGTGAAGCTTTTTTTTTTTTCACACAGGGATTATCCCGTTACTTAGTTAAGTTTATTTTAAATGCAGGAGGTTAGCAAATGTGAAAACGTCATCTGGTGTCCCTGGCCAGACGTTACTTAAAAGCTGCCTAAAAGCCTTGACTAAAAACATTATTTTAGTGAAACTATGCTATGATAAAATTTCATTTCAAATCAAGGCTTAAAGGGAAACATTAATGTGACAAGCAAAGCAAATTCTGAAAGTACAGAGACACAACTTTAGGATTTACACACATGTATTTTCTTTGTATTTTATGTTTATGTTTGTTTGGTTTTAGATTTAATGCATGCTGACCACATCAGATAAAATTCTATATATTTTCTAATATTATATTTAGGAGACAGTGTCAATAAACCATATCTGATGTGTCAAATGTAGCTAGGCCTTAGGGGCCTCAGCTTTGAGATCTAAGCTCAGCCTACAACACAGGAGTTATGATTTAGGCAATGAACACGTTCTACATAAAGTATTTTGACCACAAATCTTGCAGCTCACGTGTCTCAGGCCTTTACGTTAATTTTTCTTAAGTGCTGCATTTGGGATTTTACATGACGTTCTGTTCTGAACAGCACTTTGTTCGACAGTAGAAATGTACTGTACAGGATTCCTGTGAAGTTCAACATGTTTTAAGACCTTTTTAATACCACATCTATTAAAATGCAATTTATTACCTATTTCCCAATCAATAGCAATCAATGCAATGCCATTCAATGTATGAAAGTAAGATGGAAAACCAGTAGGGACAATGTGACCTAGAATTATTTATTAATATATCAAATTTTTGCAGTCCTTCCCAGCAGTGTATAACAATAATTCATAATGTTATACACTGTATTTGGAAAGTGTTAAGACCCCTTTAATTTTTTCACATTGTATTATGTTGCAGTCTTATGCAAAAATAATAAAAGAAATTATATATTTTTCTCCCTCATCAGTCCAGAGATCGTGTGGGGAGAAGGGAGAAACTACCAGAGGGACAATCAGTTCTGAGTGTCAGGTCTAGTTTCCTCGAAACGTGACGCTTAGAATTGAGGCCAAACTGTTCAGTCTTGGTTTCATCAGACCAGAGATTCTTGTTTCTCACGGTCTAAGAGTCTTTTAGGTGCTTTTTTGGAAATGAATTTCGAAAAAAAGAAAAAAAAAGTGAAAAAATTGAAGGGGTCTGAACATTGTCTGAATGCACTGTAATTAATTTAATTAATGCTGCCTGAACCTGGATAGGCGTAATGGAATGGATGGACGGATTAAAAGATTTGAAATGATTAATTAATGACACTAAACTTATGAGACAATAAGATTCCTAACGACTGTAGCTAGCTAGACAGTGGAAATCCACAAAAAAAGAATAGAGCATCCTCTTAGATTCACGACAGGTCAACAAGAGAAACAAAACATTTTATAACCAATATTACTGTCTACAGCAAATGATTTTTTTTAATGAGCAAACTGAATTCAATGCTTCATACAGACTTTTCAAGACCTGCAGATTCCCTGATTGTAAACAACTTGTAGTTGTCTTTATTGGCTGTGCATTAATAAATGAATACTGTAATACAGCTGACATGATTGGAGTTTCTTTTTTGGCTCATTTGAAGAATTTTAAAGCAAAAGATGCACATTTTTCAGGAACTATGCTTATTTGCTTTCTGGTGGAGAGTTAGTTGAGAAGATTAACCTCACAGTGGCAGACATCACATCGAGAGCGTGAAACATTTCCTGGTGACCTGAGGATAGTTTTGGCCTCTGCCCTTCAACTATAATGTTTAATATCATATAATTACAGCCTATATTGGGTTTCATAGCCTCCACTTTCTCCTTCTCCTTTAATTATCATTAAAAAATTATAATTGAGCATTTTTTTTTCATGTTTGTTGGGAAGTCACTCATTTTTGTACTTTGTAATCTGGATAACTTTCCCCCCTAGATGATGCGAGAAATGTGAAACTAGTCAAATAAACACGTAGGGTTAGCCTTCAAAATTAGCCAGGTTTGTGTGAACAGAGTGGGCGGGGATGGAGTCAAATTCTTGCCCTGAATTATTGCTTCAGACGGCCTCTGCTCATACCTGTGCCATAAATATGAAGCTACAGTCATCCACAGCTAGTTATCTTAGCAGAAAGACATTGAAAACAAGTGGAAACAGCTAGCTGGTCTGTCTACTAGCATCTCTAACACTCGACACTTTACATCTGTTAAAGTTTTATCATAATGTCAATTAGCTGTTTATTTGATTAATTAACTGATTACATGAACAAGACATAACACATTAATTAGTGAGATATAGAGGTGCTGGTGGATTTTTTTTTACCACTGGACTGAGCAAGCTAGCAAGCTAAGCTAACCCACTGTTGGCTAAAGTTTCATATTTCGTGCACGGACATGAGAGTTGTATGGATCTGCCAAAGATCAAGTAAGCATATTTTCCAAAAGGGTATAAGTATTTATTTAATATAGCATAAGATAAAGCTTTCAATTCTTCCAGTAATAAACCCTACCTCTGAGGTTTTTTTGTTCTGCATTTCTTGATATTTCACTTCTACCACTTCTGTTTCAATTCAGAGGTTTCACTTTTCTCCATCAGTCTTTCCTTCTTCTGACTAATAACATAGAGTTATTCAAATCACTCATAAGTGTCGCTGAGAAAATATCAACAGCCTCGACTTTCAGATGATGCAAGCTGCATCACTTAAAAAAAAAAAAAACCTCCACCTCACAGCCTGGGTATGACGACCCGTAAATGACATTAACCATTACCACAGACTTCTGCATGAAGATAATTCGCATTAGCTCTCATGTCATGCTTGCGTCCATTATGCTGAGTCATGCGTTTCCACGGTCAAACCACATCCTTTGAGCTTAACACATAAATACAAGTATGTGCATCAAGGTGGGCTTCACTTCATGTCACCACCTCAAAGACAGAGACGAGGAAACATGTTGTGTCTGAGGGGTTTCACCGTTTTCTTCTCCTTCATGGTCCTCCTCAATGTCCAGTCAAGTGAGTAGTATTTGTTTTTTAAATATATACTGTATGTGAATGATTTACTTTGTGAGATCCTGCTCATTCATGTAAACATGCAGAATGCAAAGTAATGCTGTCTTTCAGAATCACTGTGCAGCTGGTGCAGAGTGTTATGTTTTGTTTGCTCGACCAATTACTGACTCACTTTTTTTTCTTTTTTTTTTTAAAATGAATTATCTGAATATGTTTTGTCTTAGGCCATGGCTCTGAGATTATTGGTGGGAACGAGGTGCTGCCCCACTCGATGTCTTTCATGGCTCTGCTGCAGAGCAACAAACCGATCTGTGGAGGGATACTGATCAATCCATCGTGGGTCCTGACTGTTGCCCACTGTAAAAAGTAAGAACAAGATACATACACATGGGGGACAAATTAGAGGAAATCCAACAAAAGGCCAAACAAACTAACAAAAAGTGTCTTCCATGGCAAACCATGACAATTTAGTGTTTTGATGATAGTTGTGGAGAACGCTGTCTAACATGTCAGTCCAAAATCTCCAACAGGTGTTTAATTGGATTGTGATCTGGTGACTGTGAAGGCCATAGCATATGATTCACATCATTTTCATACTTATCAAACCATTCAGTGACGGGGGCATTGACATCCTGTTCCTCCACTTGTTTTTCTTTCAATTTGCCACCCGTCTGCATGTTTTTAGAATTACCACATTTCAGAATATGCACTAAAACCAATGTTTATTCTCAATGGACGGTGTAAAAGATATTGTGTAGCCTACTGATTATTTAATCTTCCAATATTTAGAGTTTTAGTGACATCACAAAAAATGTCCACACATTGTTACATGGAACTGAGTCACTAAAGCAGATTTTCGCAAAACTGAACATTTTTGTAAACAAACAAAAACAAAAACAAAAACAAAAACATCCTTATCATGTTAATAAAATATATAATAATCCAGAAATAATGGATAATTGATCCTTTGCCAGTGGTTTTGCATGTAAGACAAATGTACAGTACAGTTTTTTTACAAAATACTATTCAAGGTTTAACAAGTAAAAATATGACATTTGAGAACCACTGGTCGCAGACTGAAAGAGGCAAACATGGAAAAATGTGCTTCAGGGCAGAAACTGCAGCCTCGTCGGAGGAAGATTTGCTTATCGGAAATGAAAGTATCTGTTAATGCACAATTCTGTCTTTCTCAGTGTAACTCAGCAGGAGTGAGAATAAACATTACACTTTTATTTCAGTACACACCCATGAGTCGTTTTACACCTTCAACAGTTGGAACACAGTCATATCAGTTCTGTTAGAGGGCGAAGTCTCCATTCAACACTAATCAACTACCAACACTGTGGGTCTACATGTGTCTCTGAGGCTCACTCACTAAAAGCCAATTACATGACAGTGATCAGGAATCTATAATGAGGCAATTGTGATGAAGTCACAGTTATGTGAACTGTAAGCTAATGCAATACTGTGTTTCTGGCCTTGCAGTATCAAGATGGTGTTGCTGGGGGTGCACTCCATCAAAGCAAATGAAAAGAAATCCAGGCAGGTCCGAAAGGTTAAGAAGTCAATTCCTCATCCCTCCTACAATGCAAAAGATTTTGTCAATGACCTCATGTTGCTCAAGGTAAGGTGACATTATGGTAACCAGCAGTGAATTACCAGCTCGAGGAAGAACTGTAAGAAAGTGGCGTGAGATTGTTTGTGACGCATATTTCAAACAGCTTTTGTTTGAAATCAATATTTGCTTCTTTAGTTTGTTTGGGCAGGAGAGAGAGAGATGCCGTTCAAACCACATTTGGTCCAAATCAAGTAATTGCCCGTGCAGTCAGGCAGTTGCTTATCTTCACTGCTTATCTTCTGTTTCCTACAAATGTGAACAATATCCAAAATCAAGTCTTTCTTCTCAACCCACGAACTGGAGAAAGTTTCATTTCTTGTTGCCTTCACTGCTGTAATTTGTATGTCCAATCCTTTGTTTCCCAGTTAACCCTGATAACCATCCATCACATCGATCAATTTGTGTAGTCTTTAAATGTGCTTTACCGATCAAGACACTTTCCTTGAATTGACTGTCTGTGGCTGTTTTAATCCTTAAAAGATGTTTTAATACAGAGATCATGAAGGTCCAGCAGAAGCAGAGTGCCTTCAGGCTGTGTGCATTTCTCTGTGGACTGAGCGCTTTGATACTTTCACAGTATTAATAAAGAACCTAGACCTGCTTTATTATCAGAAAAGACATGTAAATCTCACCTTATACAATATGAGACCTTTAAAGTTTCAGTCTGTTCTGTTTTGAAACTGATTTGTTAGTAGCACAGGTTGACATTCAGAACAGCCTACTTTATTTGTGCTGTGATTCAAACACTGAATGATACAAACAATAATCTGGTTAAACCTTGAATCCCCCCCCCCCCATGTTATTATAGATACTTTGATGTTCAAAATTTATGAGTGGAAATCTTATTCAAGATGGATACTAGATAAGAAAGCATTTATGTTCACACATCAATCCATCACAGCCATCCATTTATGTATATGTATCTATAAAGTCAGCATCAATAAATAATGTTTTTTCTTTTAAAATTTCAGCTTGACAAATCGGTGAAGCAAACCAAGACAGTGAAATATCTCAAGTTGGGTAACACTGTCAGGGATCCAGCAGCTGGCAGCAGCTGTCTGGTGGCTGGATGGGGGAAAACGAACAACGCTGTCAAAAACATGTCAGACGTCCTCATGTCTGTCAATGTGACTGTGATCGACAGAGTGAAGTGCAACTCTCCCGACTACTACAACCGCAAACCTGTCATCACCAGTGGCATGATATGTGCTGGTTCAGACGGCAAAAACCATGCCGACAGCTGTCAGGTGAGTACACAAGTAAAACAGACTGCCACCCTTCATATCACTGCCTGATCTGCCTGGAAATGACTGTCATGCATTATTCTGTCTGTACAGGGTGATTCAGGAGGCCCGCTGTTGTGCAGTGAAGGTCTAATTGGAGTCACTTCTTTCGGAAAGAAGTGTGGCCTGATTAAAAAGCCCGGGGTGTACACTTTCCTCTCAGAAAAACATATCAACTGGATCAAAAAGACAATGAAGAAGAAATGAAATATAATCAGCCCCCACTGTTAATGAATTTGTATTTGCAAATTTACCACTTCTATCTTTGGACTTCTTTTGTGCTCTATTCACTTTATCCTATAATTCATGTGATAGATTTACACTCTTCATAGATATCTGCGTCTGCTGCAATAAAACAAGACATAACATTTTTATTTTTTTTATTTTTTTTTGAGACCAATGAGCCATCTTTAGCATAAACGCAGCGGCATTATTCAACCTGTCAACCAGACAGATTCACCACTTCCTGCATCGAAAGCATAAACTGATACTGAGGCTTCAGCTCAAGTCTCTTGGAAAGGTTTTGTCTTAAAGGTCACTTCTCAGGCTGAATTATTTCCTCACCACTGATCGATGTTTTTACTGCCTGAAAACCACACACAATGACATTTTCCTGTCATAAAGGCAGAGTCAGAAATATGAAAGGCCTCTTGTCTTTTGTTCTTTCTTTTTTGATATTGTAGAACTATATCTCTTTCAAAATACCTTCTCATTTCTGTAGCTCACACCTCACATCTCTTTGTGTTTGTGTTTCAGTTCTCTGGTTTCATGTTGTGCAAGATCAGTGTTCAAATTAAAAACAGAATATTTTCTGTGTTGTGCTTTCTTCCCTCCTCCTCTCGAGGTCATCTGTCGATAAAGCTCTAACTGTTCCCTGCATGAGACAATTACCGTAATGTCAACGCAGAGAACATGAAGCTCTGAACCACAACTCTCCATATATAAAGACCCCATACAGGAAACGTGCAAAGTGTCGCAATGTTGCAAACATGCCTCTATAGGAGACATTATCAGTGACCACATGTCAGCACTTCCACTTCCAGTAAAAGGAAATGTTTGCCATTGTCATTAAGGTTGGCACAGTAACATTATTGGGCGGATTATTCATCATTTTCTTTGTCTCCCTTATCTTAAATACTATTGTTCCTTCATTCCTGTGAGCTGACTGCAGCCCATTTGTCTCCCTGAAACATTTGCTCCCTCTGCATTATTTGCTCCACTTTAAATTCTTGTGGTTTTGTTGTGTCAGCTCAGCTTACTAATCATGTCTTTACACCCGCTCTTTATGACCTGGGACTCAGATTTCATGCTACATCACTAGGTGGTGCTCTCTGCTGTAGCTAGTGCCGCAGTAATTTACAGAAAGGAGATTCCAATCGGGGGTTAGGATCATTTCACTCAGCTAAAAGTAAAACTAAAAATGAGTTTTGATTAATAAGGTAGATAAATAGAAAACATACCATGTTTCCTGTTTATTTTGACACCTATTGGTTGTTGGGACGGCATGAATACTCTTCCTTGGGTCCACCTTTTACAGTATTGCAGTGAAAAGGGTGCACATAAAATTCAGAATCTAACCTTAAGACCATAGACTATATAAAGAGTAAGACTTGAAAAAACTAATGACAACTGAGACAGAAATGACATAAGTAGAAAACACATCTCCTACAAAAACAAAGTTTTCTATCCTCGTGATCATCTTGCAACACTTGAGGTGTATTATGTGACCCCAGGTTGTTAAACTCTACTATTACTTCTGGGTGAAGCAAATTTGCTGCAACCTACAGAGCTACATTTGAAGAATTGGCTCAACATGATTCAGGCACATACAGTATGGTATGAGCTGTCTTTTTTCTTTTTAAGTTTGTTTAGGCAGGTGAGAAAGATGTCATTCAAACTGCAAACTAAATTTAGTCCAAGTTCTCAGCAAAGTCACTGACACCTTAATCACAAATAAAGCATATCACATCACACGTCACATCTTCCAAGAAAATAAAAACAAATCCTATATTTAGGAACAACCCAATTTATTGTGTAAACATGTTCTACTATCTGACATTTGATAATTAACGCTAATCACAATCCACAGCTGAGAACTTCTGATGGGACTGTCATTAGCTTTGTATGTAGGTTGGCAAATTAAAATGTTGACCAAGTGATGGCACCAGAGGCAAGGCTGAAGTTTCACCAAAGTTTTTTTTACAATTCATCCTGAGGGGGACATGACTGTCTAATTCAAATTTCACGGCAATCCATCAAAGAACTACAATGCCAGCTTAATGGAAGGAGAAAAGTCAGGGGATTCATCAGTAATGTATTTCAAATACTTATAAGTACAAGTCAAATACAAATACTTATACCTATACATATATACACACACATCACAAATTTATAGTTCCATAGAATATTTTGTTTTCACTTTGTCGCCTTGCAACTAATCCACTTAAAATAAGAATGGCACTACAAAAGGCCGTTTTTTTTACCTTCGCTGTTTTCCCACAGCATGAAAAGGCTGAAAAAGATGTAAATAACAGTAACATAAATCACACACTCTGTGCTTTGTATGTTAGCTAGACAAGCTAGCTACCATGGCAACAGTGCTAACAGGCAGATCTACAGTCACCAGGAATTTCGCTCGGCCGGTAGCTTGCTAGGTAGGCAAGTGTTCAACTTAACCAAGTGTTCAACTCAAATACAATACTTTTAAATTTCAGAGTGAATAAGTTAACGCTTGAAACAGGTAATCGCTTCATGTAATCTATTGATTTTAATAATGTAACTGTATTCTGATTGCCACCTATTTAAACTGTTATTATATCCTTAACACTTTGACATATGTTCTGTTACTCCCCAACACTGTCCATCCAATAGTTGCTGAGCTATTTCAATCTGGACAAAAGTGGTGGGCTGACAGACTTTGCTGTCCATACAGCCACACCCCTAGCATGGATAAAAACCAATGTCAATCTGTGTCATTTTGCTGAATTAGAGGTCCGCATAAGAGACAAAAATGGAAGACAAAAGACAAAAAAAAATTCTGTCCTTGGCAACTGACCTGCTCCTTTGTAAAGGTGAAGGAAAAAATGTTACCACGCCCAGGAAATTCCAGCATGTCCTTTATTTGAGCTGTAAGTGAATTATCACTGACCAACCATCTGCCTGTGTGTTTACTCTGTTTCCATAGCCACCCACAAAAGCTCAAAGGCCCACCTTAGTGCCACCGAAACTATCAAAGCTCACCACACCCATATTAACTTATATTTGTCAAATGGATGAATGCACGAGTGTTTATGACTGTTTTTGGCGTGTTTAAATAACCATTTCTGCCATGGTGATCACTGTCCCACACACCAACACACATACGCGCGAGAGTAAATGTTTACCTGGACTTGCATCACCTGTGTGTGTTGGATGAGCTGCCCACCTTGCCTCACCTTTCCCTCACTAGTGACGCAACAGCACACACACACAAACACAGAGTGAAATCTTGTTTTATGAAGGTAACTGGAAACTGTTGTATCCTGGCAGGTGAGTCAGAGTCTTTGTATGGCAATTTAGTCTTGTATCACATTGTCCCGAATGTTAGATTATGAGACAACTGTCCATTTTGCTACATTTGTTTTCAGATAAAGACTCAAAGGAAAGGTTCAGACTTTTAGATGAATTGTTTTGGAAAATACATTTAATTTAGTGCGTCAGTTAGCTCGGCACAATGACTGGAAGCAGGGGGAAACAGTCTGGCTCTGTTTAAAGGCACCAGCACATGGCACGCCAAATTTATAAGACATATAAAAAAAAATCTTTCAATACAGTACAGTATATATGCTGAGAGAGTTTTTGGTCACTGTAATCATTCCTCCTTTCCTTACTGGCCATGAAGCAAGCCTTTCCTGATGCAACTTGACTGTAAGAAACATGAGTCAAAATCCACCTTCCTCGTACTGTGCAATAATATGCAAAAAGTTCAGGTGGAGCTAATATGAGGTTTCATCTGTCCAAACTCCCTCACTGTGTTTCCTTGCTGAGCTGCTGCAGAGGGATACAACCTACAACAATGTTTCTCAACACTAATATCAACATGTGAAAACTGACCTAAAGTTATTCTCTTGCTCTTAATGACTTAAACTTATTCCTATATTCTTAAGGGGTCGTACTTTGTACTTGTCCTTTAAGAGTTTTCTTAACATCCTACTGTAAATTCCACTGACGTGCTGATGGTGAATCACTTAAACCCACAGAACTTCATTTTAAATACCACTGGAGACCCAGAAGCTCCCAAAGACACCAAATATGTCAGGTCAAATTTTAAGGAAACGTGTACAGTATAGAATGATGTACCAGACACTTAGAATATTCTCATTTTATATAATGATGCAGCCATAAAAAGTGTAAACATCATCCAGCTCAAATGAAGAGGTGAAACAAGCTTATACAGAATATATATATATATATATATATATACAGTGTGGAACAGGATGATTTTTATTACGTTAAAGTTAAAACTATTTATGGTGAAATAGAAAAAGGAAACTGGCTACCTAACACATTCTCCTCAAACTACTTTTTCCAAAATATGCATTATGCATATTTACCCATAATTGCAAAAAGTATAAGAATATTGACAGAATATGGACTGGTGACTTCATAAACACTATGTAAATCATGCAGTGTAGTGACACCTGTCAGCTATCTTTGGAGATGAATATCCCACACAGTTCCATGAATAGGGTCATGTGAGGTTAACCTCATACTCAAACAGTGCGTAGCCAGAAGTTTGTTTGGTGTTAACACTCTTCATTAAAGCTCTTATCTCAATCTTTTTTCAATGCTATGCTTGTGAAACTGTGTTTCCTCCTTTGTGTACAGTCTATTCTGAGCTCCTTTGTCCAGAAGCATCTAAACATGTTCAAGTCTTTGTTTGCAAAGACTTTGAGAACTTAAGTTACCTGAATAGTCCCAAAATAGTTCATACCAGACACGCCCCCGCTTCTTAACCCAATCCACCTGTGCAGCAGTATATTGTCTACACATCCAGCTTTAGACGTCAGTTGATTGTTGAAAACACTGCAGTGTCCATCCATTGTGTCAAAAACACAATGGATGGTGTGTCTGTGAGTGTGGTTTAATCCTTGTGTACAGCATATTGTATATCTGTGTTTTTCATCAAAATCAGCTGTTAAAAATTACACTCAAGCAATGAAGTGGTACAATTTCATTTGATGGTCCAGCTTGTCACACAGACACCTCAAAAGACTTTCCAGTCTCTCATGCTTTTGTGTTGCTCTTATGATTCTTTGAATTCCTCAGTGAAGTCACAGAGCTTTCTGAGAGCCTGTCTCAGGGTTATTCTTGTCTGCGGAATCTGTGTTTGGCTAAAAGGCTGAGGTGTTTGTGTGAGCAGGCTGCTAAGGTATGGGATGCATCCAGAGATAGGAATGTAAACAGAAAAGTCAGGCAGAGACGCATGAATAAATAACACTTTCATATAACACTGAGAAACTTTATTAGCGATCAAATTCCATCCCTTTTCCAGACTGAGATGAAGAGCATTTCTCTGACCTATAACAACAGCAGTGCAATAAATAAAACCGAACCTACAGATCATCAAAGGGCTGAATGCTCAGCATTCGCACATAATAGACATCATAACAATAGTCCAACATACAAAGACTCATACAGTCGTTAGCAATAAATAATCACACTGAATAAATTACATTCTAACAAGTACTGGACAGTGTTTCTTTTACACAGCATCTAATGAAGCAGTCTATCACTTCTACTTCTTTGTCAGGTCCTCAGATTCCTCTGGTCTGCTTCGTGGTTGAATCGTGCAGCTGGCTGAGGACAGATAGAGAGAAATCAAAGGTCAACAGATAGGAAAACATAGAAATGACATTTTAAAAGTAAAAGTGAAACCATTTAGTTAGAAAACTACCATGTAGATGTTAATTTAAAACAGCTTAAAATAATTGCACAGACGACATGCTTAAACATTGAAAGTAAAAGTCAAGAATTCCTTTCTCCATTTTAGCTTTAATGCAAAATAAAGTAGTTTAAATAATCTGGATTAACTGTTTTGTTTGTTTGCAACCTGTCTATTGGTCTCCCAGTTCCCATATCTTATCCCATATCTCAGTAATTGCTTTGGTTACTACAATGAAAACTATGAAAAGTTGTAAAAATTTTTTTTAATTATTCCTTAAACACATGAATAAAAGAATTTAAAGCCTGCAAATGAATAAGCATGTAAATAACACTGTAGCCTATGTGTGAGTCAGACTTGCTTTTTTTAGGGTTGACAGTGAGCGACATGCAGGCTTTGTGGAGAAAGATGAACGACCGCATTATTTGTCTTGAGGCGAAAAATTTCAGTGTATCTAAACACGTGAAGTCTGCACGTGTGTGTATGTGTGTGTGTGTGTGTGTGTGTGTGTGTGTGTGTGTTGCTCAGTGAGATCTGACCACATCTAAATGGAGTAAGCTCTTACAGCAAGGTCATCACGTGTACAGTCAGTGTGTCAGTACTGTTATTGTTTGGACACACAGGTGAATGTGTACGATCGAGCGTGTGGTTTTTCTTTACGCTGGTATGCAGTGCAGAGATGGGATAGGCCGAGACACCCCTGGCTAATCCTGACTAATTCTTCTCTAGTGGGGATTCCTCTCTTCATGATGCAACTTGCTGTATTCAATAACAACAACAAGCGTATACGGGCTCCTCTGTCACTCTCTGAGCCCACTCTTTCCTGTTTGGCTTAATATTCACGTGAGCAGAGGCTAGACACCACCCTCTGAGGATTAAGTCCGAGGCAAGACTTTTGGGAGAAATACAGCAGCAAAATATACACCCCGGGGAAATACATGTCATTTTACAGCATCATAACATATGACATGAACACAGTGATTGGTGAAGGTTTGGATTTCCATTTTGAGTCAAGCAATTCACTGTTCAATAGGCCCTGCCCCCTTAGTTACTGTTGCTATCCTGCCAAGCATTCCATTCTAGAACTTCATATTTACACTGTAAATTAACTGTAGCTAACAAGCTAGTTAAGCTAATGTAAATAGAAATCTCATAAACCTACTTTTTAATGGCTAAGCTAACTCATTTTACATTGAGAATGGTGTCAAATATGCATTTGATGGTTGCATAAATGATAAAATGTTTAAAGACTAAAGCTTATGGCCAGGTTAACCTTCCAGGGGTCCTGAGTCAAAAATTTGTTGTTGGGTCCTTGTTTGTTGTTTAGGCCAGACATGCTAACGTTTAAAGATTAGTTAGAGCAAACAAACACTGTTTAATCCTTACATCCTTGCTGTTGTCTCTCTTGTTTTGAAGATGGTAAAAAATAAAACCATCATTCAAACTCTTTACACACAATCTACCACCCCATGCACACTACTTTAACAGGGCTAACCTGAAGGCTGATAGCTTTATGGTTGCTAAGCCATGACAGGGCGAACGATGTTCAGGGGTGAAGTTAAGCGAACTGTTGGGGGTATTGAGATGTTTATGGATGTCATTTAATTTGACGCAGTGTGAACTCAGTGTAATTGCTGACCTGGAACGAAGTACACAAGTGGGTCAAAAGCTCAACAACGTGACACCTACCTCATTGGAACTCAACGCCCTCACACCACGACATCACCAACAGGTTTCTGTAACTTCTCCTGCTCTGTCCCAGTTCCCAGGTAGGATGCCAGGTAGTTTTTATGTGACCGGTAACTGAAAAACACATTCATCGTGAGTATAAAAGCTGAGTATAGCTCTCGTGATTATCAGATGATCGCAGTAAAGTTATTTTGAAAGGCGGGAGTGCAGAATCAGTTACAGCTTTGATCCTGTCTAGACAAATGAAATTTAAGGTGTGTTTTTGTTGTGTTTTGGCAGTTATTTCAAAGGATTACAGCCCATAAAGGGTATGTATTGATTATTAAAATGAACTCTATTTTTGTTTTCTGATCAGAATTTAAATTGGATGGAGTTTCGCTCTCACACTAATAAGTTCCACTTTCTCTCCACCCTCCCCCGACTTCAGTATTGCTGGCTCACACGGGCTGTAAAGCTTTAATTGCACTGCTGCTGTTATATTTGCACTCTCTTGGACTATTGACTTTGTCCCACATTCAAATAATAGCTGTGATTTGGTTACATATTGATACAGACCTTGTGATTGTACAGGAAATGAGTTGTCAAACTATTACAGGAAATACTAGATCATTTAAAATAAAGGATGAGTAAGACACGCTTTCATCTATGTTTCACCATTTGTGGCAAAATTGTAGATTTCACTATTAGTCTACAATAAAAGTAAGAATGAGACATGAAAGTTATAGAGGATATTGAGGCCTCTTTTTGAGGGTGGTGAGCAATACCTTTATAGTGTGGGTGTGTTTGGGTGTGTTATGTGCCCTTCTGATGTGTCAGTGTGTCTGGGTGCCAAGAAGCATTTCTAATGTGTGGGTTCTAATGTGTGTTGGGATTTGCCGGGGTGTGGATGGCCCTCACCCGTATCCACTTAAAGCTTCAGTGATCTGCCCTATAACAGTTTTAAAGGATAAAGATAAATAAGACGACTTTATTTCAAAACCACTGGCATCAGGTCTCTTTCTTAGTATACCTCCAACTATTGGGAAACGTGATACCAAGGCTGAAGAGAGAAGCAGGGCACACAGATAATTGATATATTGCGATCTGGTTACATAATGGTGTTGTGAATTTTGATTCCTAACTTTAATCCACTGAAAACAAGTTGTCTTAGGTTTACAACTCTAAACAGCAGCAACAACACTGTGTTCAGTACCCAGAGATCCTGCACAAACTGTCCACAGCACACTCATGCTAACCACCCCCATGGGTAAATGATACTTTATACAAATGATGGGAGACAGTCAAAACATGATGATGGTGAATCCAGCTTTTTCTGGACAAATCTGTCGCCGTCACTCACTTTCTGCTAAGACACAGTTTATATATTTTTTTTGCATCTCTCTTATCAATAAAGATATATAATTTTGGGAAATGGGTAAATTTTGAAAGTCTCTCCTGTTGTCACCTGTCCTCATGATTTGGGCTCAAGATCCCGCACTGGCTTCCCACCCACTAAAGCCTTCTGTTCCCTCTGAAAGCACTACAGCCAGAGAATGAGGCCAGGTCACTGAAGGATGCCTTTCCCCCGTGTTACATCAGCCTTTAGTGCAGCTTTAAAATCAAGATGTGATGCCACGTGTGAGACACAGTCATACTCACTGAGCACAGGTCATGAGCAGGATGGCGATGCAGCTGATGACTGACAGGACCACAGCAATGATTACCAAGACCGTCTGCACCAACTCAGTGTCACTGCCCCCCCTGGTGCGGGTCTCCAGAGTTTGGATCCCACAGCGCTCCCCGTCATAACCCTTCATACATCTGCAGAGTGAGAGGCAACAGAACAAATTGATCAGCCAAGAAGTATATTTTGTTAAACATGAAGAATAGGGTGAGAGTGTAAATAAATGTGGCTTCAGATGTTAAACTTTACACAAAATAGTGAATATGTCCATTTAGTCAAAATAAGGAAAGATAGCAATAAACCTTATCTTAAAAAAAAAAAAAAAACTAATATATAAATTTAATCATGTGTTCATGTCATTTTTTGTTCTTGCCTGTTGGAAAGTTCAGCAAAAAATGATGTGGATTATTTATTCTGATGATAAACTTGTGATCAACTTGCCTCTGACTAAACCACAGTGCTCATATTCACCCACATGCAAACACCCAAAGTGAACTGATGCCGTACTTACATGCACACTGGCTCCTGCAGGCCCTCTATGTGCTTGCAGTAACCATGAATACAGTAGCCCAGGTGGGTGGAGGTGCAGGGATCCTCTGCGGTGGTGAGAGTTGCCGTGTATCCGTTGGTGAAGACCATGTGCTCGGGGTTCAAAGGAGTCGTGCTTTTGCTCTTGTGCCTGCTCCTCCTCTTGCCTTTGCCTTTCCTTTTCTTCCTCTCATCTTTACTGGGATTTAATTCTGTAGCAGGAGAAAGGTTCATTTTAGGAGTTTCTACATATAGTTTCAAGCATGTTTACGTGATGAATTTTTCACATACATACACAACATCCCTGACTGTGACTTTTTTTGATCAACAGTGTAAAGCAGATAAGGAACAGCGAAATTCTTCACTTCTCCATTGCATTCAGAAAAAATATATTTACTGATCACAAATGGCCCAGCATTTCAACAAAACAAAAATCAAGTTCAAGAGGAAAAGAGCTTGTTTGATTTGTCATACCATGAGGGCTGAAATTTTCGTTGTCCCCTCCTGAAAGCTCTTCATCTATTTCCAGCTCGTCATCGTCGCTCAGCAGAGTCTGGAGGCCCTCCCCAGAGGCCGGACCCCCAGTCACTCCAGCTAGTCCACTGGAGTACGTGGCCTCAGATCCCTGAGCGCCCAACGAACTGCAGACTACTGTAAAACCAACAGAACACACAGAAAACAAACAGACTAATGAGTGAGATCAAATATACATAGAGATATATATATTTTTTAAAAAAGATAAGCAATAGGGAGCAATTAGAGTCAAAGTTTACATCATGCAGTTTAATGTGGTGACCCCAGTATTTTATATCCACAGCATTTGGAAAGATCAAGAACGTTTTTTTAAAGCTAGATACCAAACTCAGACTAGAACCTGTTGCCATGAAGGGATGAAATGAATTATAATTATCTGGAAGTTTTATTTTTCTGCAACCAGAAAAAGGACAAACATCTTGAGATTGATGAAATGGCATCCAGTTCTTTTATTCCTATTCTATGGTCACCAGGAACCTAAGCTTGCCTGGTTACTTTCTATTGGCATTGTATTCAGAATCTTTGTCCCATTTACATCTGACTTATCCATTCATCTTAAAATATCGAGCGCAATCTGAGCCCGCTAATTACATACATGCTGTATTGACACTAAAACAAGTACAACCAGTCCACATCCTGAACAATGCTGTACCTGAATGCATCATTCACACACGATGAGAACAACAATGAATGAAATTCAAAGACTAATGAAGAATTTGAAATATGTTGACCTTTCGCAGCATCTGGTGCTGTTGTATAATGTAATGATCTGGCCTGGTAATGGATTCGAGCTCATCCTGAGAAACTAGAGGCGCTGTGCACTTCTGAGACGAAATTCTTTATCTCTAAAACCTGCTGACAAGTCCTCACTTGCATGAGACATTTTCTTCCTTGGGCTTGCCCCCCAACCTCGTCAAGATTTGCACACATTCATACCACTCTCATCCATGTATACATTCTCCTCTGTCCATCTGATCTGTCTCCTGTGCTTCGGTAAGTTTGGACTTGTACCTTTATTATGTATGTGTGTGTTTGGCGTGTGTGCAGGCCAGGAAAATCAATGAAATGGAAAGAGGAGAAATGTAAAATGGCATGAGGACAGAGGAGGAATGGGGTGCTCTGGGTGGGGGGCAAGCAAGGAAGAAATGTCTCTGCAAGTGAGGACTTGTCAGGCAGGTTTTAGAGAAAAGAATTCGTCTCAGAAGTGCAGCGCCTCTGTTCTCAGGATGGATCTGAATCATTACCAGGCCAGATCATTATACAACAGCACCAGATGCTGCGAAAGGTCAACATATTTCAAATTCTTCATTAGTCTTTGAATTTCATTCATTGTTGTTCTCATCGTGTGTGAATGATGCATTCAGGTACAGCATTGTTCAGGATGTGGACTGGTTGTACTTGTTTTAGTGTCAATACAGCATGTATGTAATTAGCGGGCTCAGATTGCGCTCGATATTTTAAGATGAATGGATAAGTCAGATGTAAATGGGACAAAGATTCTGAATACAATGCCAATAGAAAGTAACCAGGCAAGCTTAGGTTCCTGGTGACCATAGAATAGGAATAAAGAACTGGATGCCATTTCATCAATCTCAGATGTTTGTCCTTTTTCTGGTTGCAGAAAAATAAAACTTCCAGATAATTATAATTCATTTCATCCCTTCATGGCAACAGGTTCTAGTCTGAGTTTGGTATCTAGCTTTAAAAAAACGTTCTTGATCTTTCCAAATCTGTGGATATAAAATACTGGGGTCACCACATTAAACTGCATGATGTAAACTTTGACTCTAATTGCTCCCTATTGCTTATCTTTTTTAAAAAATATATATATCTCTATGTATATTTGATCTCACTCATTAGTCTGTTTGTTTTCTGTGTGTTTGTTGGTTTTACAGTAGTCTGCAGTTCGTTGGGCGCTCAGGGATCTGAGGCCACGTACTCCAGTGGACTAGCTGGAGTGACTGGGGGTCCGGCCTCTGGGGAGGGCCTCCAGACTCTGCTGAGCGACGATGACGAGCTGGAAATAGATGAAGAGCTTTCAGGAGGGGACAACGAAAATTTCAGCCCTCATGGTATGACAAATCAAAACAAGCTCTTTTCCTCTTGAACTTGATTTTTGTTTTGTTGAAATGCTGGGCCATTTGTGATCAGTAAATATATTTTTTCTGAATGCAATGGAGAAAGTGAAGAATTTCGCTGTTCCTTATCTGCTTTACACTGTTGATCAAAAAAGTCACAGTCAGGGATGTTGTGTATGTATGTGAAAAATTCATCACGTAAACATGCTTGAAACTATATGTGAGAAACTCCTAAAATGAACCTTTCTCCTGCTACAGAATTAAATCCCAGTAAAGATGAGAGGAAGAAAAGGAAAGGCAAAGGCAAGAGGAGGAGCAGGCACAAGAGCAAAAGCACGACTCCTTTGAACCCCGAGCACATGGTCTTACCCACGGATACACGGCAACTCTCACCACCGCAGAGGATCCCTGCACCTCCACCCACCTGGGCTACTGTATTCATGGTTACTGCAAAGCACATAGAGGGCCTGCAGGAGCCAGTGTGCATGTAAGTACGGCATCAGTTCACTTTGGGTGTTTGCATGTGGGTGAATATGAGCACGTGGTTTAGTCAGAGGCAAGTTGATCACGATTTATCATCAGAATAAATAATCCACATCATTTTTTGCTGAACTTTCCAACAGGCAAGAACAAAAAATGACATGAATACATAATTAAATTTATATATTAGTTTTTTTTTTTTTTTTTAAGATAGGTTTATTGCTATCTTTCCTTATTTTGACTAAATGGACATATTCACTATTTTGTGTAAAGTTTAACATCTGAAGCACATTTATTTACTCTCACCCTATTCTATGTTAACATATACTTGATCAATCTTCACTCTGCAGATGTATGAAGGGTTATGACGGGGAGCGCTGTGGGATCCAAACTCTGGAGACCCGCACCAGGGGGGGCAGTGACACTGAGTTGGTGCAGACGTCTTGTAAATATGCTGTGGTCCTGTCAGTCATCAGCTGCATCGCCATCCTGCTCATGACCTGTGCTCAGTGAGTATGACTGTGTCTCACACGTGGCATCACATCTTGATTTTAAAGCTGCACTAAAGGCTGATGTAACACGGGGGAAGGCATCCTTCAGTGACCTGGCCTCATTCTCTGGCTGTAGTGCTTTCAGAGGGAACAGAAGGCTTTAGTGGGTGGGAAGCCAGTGGGGATCTTGAGCCAAATCATGAGGACAGGTGACAACAGGAGAGACTTTCAAAATTTACCCATTTCCCAAAATTATATATCTTTATTGATAAGAGAGATGCAAAAAAAATATATAAACTGTGTCTTAGCAGAAAGTGAGTGACGGCGACAGATTTGTCCAGAAAAAGCTGGATTCACCATCATCATGTTTTGACTGTCTCCCATCATTTGTATAAAGTATCATTTACTCATGGGGGTGGTTAGCATGAGTGTGCTGTGGACAGTTTGTGCAGGATCTCTGGGTACTGAACACAGTGTTGTTGCTGCTGTTTAGAGTTGTAAACCTAAGACAACTTGTTTTCAGTGGATTAAAGTTAGGAATCAAAATTCACAACACACATTATGTAACCAGATCGCAATATATCAATTATCTGTGTGCCCTGCTTCTCTCTTCAGCCTTGGTATC